GGTTTACAGGGTTCATACGATTCAAAGGGTAGTTGGTGCATGCCGTTCGGGTTTGGGGCTTTAGTGTCCAGGTGGTAGGCGGGCCTTATGTCATTGGTTTGGGTTTAAGTTTTTGGGGTTTACCCTAAACCCCAAACCCTCAACCCTAAACCCCAAGGGACGATCAGCCGTTCGTATTCTGGCAGTGTTGTCGGTGATGGTGCTGCCTTGCGGAAAGTATGTTCTGCGGAGACTGAAGGACGAAGCGCCCATTGCCGGTCCCAAGCCCGAAACCCATTAGGGTTTAGGGTTTAGGGTTTAGGGTTTAGGGTTCGGAGGAGCTCAGTCCCAAAAAAGGTTCAGAGGTGCAGTTGGGTCCTTTCCTTCGCGGTGAGGGCCGACCTGTTTAATCCGTGCACGAACTTGCTGATTAGCAAGGGCTTACGTGTAGTGAGCAAATAAGGTACCCCACGACAACATTGGAGCCTACGAAGAAACGTCCAACCCTAATTCTTAAACCCTATACCCTATAAAACCCTAAACCCTAAGCCCTATGTGCAGTGCGGGTGCAAAAAGACCTAAACCCTAAACCCTAAACACTAAACCCTAAACCCTAAACCCTATAAACCCTAAACACCCTAAACCCTAAACCCTATAAACCCTAAAAGCCTAAACCCTAAAACCCTATAACTCCTTCCTGAACCCCACATCCGAAGCCGTCCTGCGGCCCATCGCTTCAGCGTGCAGCCCAGGCATCCGGAGGGCAACTTTCGAATCTGCTGGGACCCCCTTGGTTTGGGGCTATGTTAGGAGGCTTTGCGAGGGTTTAGGATGCAGGGTTTAGGGTAAAGGAGTATCTGTGGGGTTGAGGGTGTAGGGTTTGGGTTTTCGTGTCTGAGGTTGGGGGCTTAGGGTTTGAACGCGCCCACGGGTTTGCAAGGGCCGGAGCCTAAAAAAGCACAGCTTCCACATCACTGCTGGCCATTCTTGTACGCATGCGATCTTCAGAACATTCGCGGCGCACGGAACTCAGGCTGTATGTAGACGGTCGCTTCCGGCTCCTGAAGCACGTCGCAGTTGTGCATGCCACCAAAACGGGTTCTACTGCCTACGTATCCAGGGGTGCGAAGAGTATGGAAATGCGCAACCTCAGCTCACGTAGATCCTATTCCTAAACCCTTAAAACCCTTAAAACCCTTAAAACCCTGAAACCCCTTAAAACCCTTAAAGCCCTGAAAGCCCTTAAAACCCTTAAAACCCTTAGAGCCCTTAAAACCCTTAAAGCCCTTAAAACCCTTATAACCCTTAAACCCTTAATCCCTTAAACCCTTAAACCCTTTGCCCCCTCCAAGCCAGGACTTCACGAGCCTCTTCCTACTCCTTACCGACGCGATCCTCCTGCCGGCGCTTGGTCTGTGAGGGTCTTGCTGAAAGCCTTACAGTAAACTCCAGAAAGTTGGAATATGGTTTAAAAGTGACTAGAGCTGGTGGGATCTTCTTTAGTATACCTTTTGGCGAGGATGTTCCAACTTTTAGGAGTTTCCTGTACTTCGCCTTTAGTTGAACTTTAAACTTTTTTGGCTTCCTTATTCAGTGGGCATATTAAAGTTTAACCTTTTTTTAACCCTTGGTTATTGGAGAAGTAAGAAGCAGCATTTGCGCAGAGTTTAGGGTTTAGGGCATAGCAGCCTTATGAGTTACTGACAGGTTTAGGGCTTATGGGCATCTGTTCTCAGTTTTGGGGTAAGCCTCAAAGTATCTCTTGATGAATTCAGGCACCAAATTCCTGACTGATGGTGCATTGGCTCCGCGGCCAAGGGATTCAGACTCGTACTTCTACCACCCATGAATCCTTGGCTTTCTTCTGGCTGGCTCTTAGGACTTCAACCTTTTTTGGGTTGTTGAAGAGACTGCAATAAGGAGCCTAACAAGTTAAACTTTTAGGTGGGGTTCAGAAGTCAGCTAAGTACTTCTACCCACCCATGAACCTCCAAGTACAAGGAGGGGCCCCCTGACTATACTAACTATAGTTAAGGTACGTATAACCTAAGTTCGGGTCCTTAAGACCCAATGTTGGATCCCTACAACTCTACTTATAACTAGGGCCCCCCCTCCTTGTATGCCTGAACCCTACACCCTAAACCCTAAAGCCCCTCCATCTTATGAGGCTCGTGGAGGAAGGTCTGAGAACAAAGTCTCCAGTCCAAGCGAGCACGGCGCTTGTAAGCCCTACAACTTGCAAGTAGAGTTCTACTACTAAATTCTTAATTAAGACCCCCCCCCAACAGATATAAACAAAGCTTCATCTTAAGGCCGATATAGGGATTGTGCTCTTGCCTTTTTGGGGGGGCTCTTAAGCAAATATGTGGTAGTCTAAGTTTGGGATGTTCCCCCTTATTCTGACAGGCCTTAATCGGAATTTTAACACGGGATACTGTATTCCGATTAAGGACTGTTAGTATAAGTGGCAACATCCCAAGTCTAAGGGCCTGACACAGCCTGACAAGTCAGGGCTTAGGGTTTAGGGTGTAGGGTTTGGGGTTTAGGGTTTAGGGTTTAGGGAGGTATTGAGCCTTTGGACAGTTTCTCATGCGCTTAGGCTTCGCTAGCCTGGGAGTGGCAGACGCCCGGCTTCTTTGGGCAATGTTTTCTTGGGATTTGTTTAGGGTTTAGCGTTTAGGGTGTAGGGTTTCCGAGATCAGGGGTACCTGTCCTTATTACAAGGCAAGGGAATCCGACTCTTTTTGGGGGTCTGTATTAGGGGCCCCTGATTTTCGCAAACTCCCCTTGGATTTCCGGAATGGTTTACGGTTTACGTGCTAGGACGCTGTCATAATGGGCTGTCATATACCAACTGCCGAACTGTCTTTTTAAAGCTTGCTTCGTGCCGTACACCCCTGCAGCACCGAAATGTGAGCGGTGAGGGGGGCTTAGGAGTGGTCTGAAGTTTAGGGTGGTTCGTTCCAGAGGGTTTCTAGGTTAGAGCTTAGGGTTCAGGATTTCTAGGGGTCGAGATGGAGGTTTATCTACTGGCTCTTAGTCAGAAAAGAGGGAATTAGGTACAACATCTCCCTCTTTCATTATGCCCCTTTAAGGGAGTTTTTTGGCTACCTCATTCCCTCTACTAATTAAGCACCAGTAGGTTTCGGGTGTCTGTAGGGGCCGCAAGGGCTTAGGAAACCGATGGGATGACTGGGAGAGTCGATGTGCAAGGCGTACGTTTCATGCAAATTTATCTGTATGAATATTGTATACTTGCATATATATATATAGTATGTATACTTGAGAATGCATATATATATATAGACATACTTCGAACAGCCCAGGATAGGCCTTGGGGGTTTGTTTACACATGCTTTCAGAAGCAGCCCGACCAGCCCAGTGACTTCGCCGAGGGCGTACTCACAAGTATCCTGAGGCACCTGTCGCCCGCCGGGGTTTAGAGTTTAGGCAGCTTGAAGAGATGTTAGAACTGTGTGTGTGTGTGTGTGTGTGTGTCTGTGTGTCTGTGTGTCTGTGTGTCTGTGTACGCGTGCAATTCTGACCCTCAACAGATGGGATGCAAAAGGTTCTGCGAAGCCGTTGCAGCAGTTTGCCTGTGCTTGTGAATGGAGAATCCCTAAACCCCAAACCCTAAACCCTAAACCCTAAACCCTAAACCCTAAACCCTAAACCCTAAACCCTAAACCCTAAACCGTACTTTGAGGATGTCCTTAGACGACTTCGGCAGCGCCTACCTCGCCTTCTCCATTTACAGCAGTCTTGTGCCTGCTGGCACCTACTTGAAGCCAATTTCTTTGGTCAGGGTGGAAGGTGGGGTGGGGTGGGGTGGGGGTGTACCTAGGGTTAAGTTTCTTGGTTCTTAGTAGGGAATCCAGGAATTCCGGTAGCTCCATAAATATAGTCCCTTGAAGACTTAAGGATTTACATTGGAGTGGGGTGTATGGTGTGTAATGTTGCACTCCCTCTTTAGTGTGCCCCCCCCCCCCCCCACCCCTACACCCTAAACCCTAAGCCTTAAATGAGCTTAAAAGCGGCAGAGAGGCCCATCTATTGATCTTAAAGGCGTGCCTCCGGAAGACTTGACTGACTTGTGGACTCCTGACCTGTCACACGATCCTGAATATCCGGTAAACTTGACTAAACTCAAGAGGCCCCTATGAAAAGGGATACATATATATGTATATATATATACATATTTTTATTTATTTATACATTAGACAAGTATATAGTTAATTTTGTCTCTGAACCTTTAGATCTGAGGTTTTGGAGCCTGGACATCTTGGTCAACTTGAACACTGCCGTTTACATCAAGGGCAAGCTGGTGCTGTCACGCAACAGGGCCTATAAGGAAGGGCATCGGCTCGCCAGCGTGTTTGCTTGGGGTTTAGGGTTTAGGGTTTAGGGTTTAGGGTTTAGGGTTTAGGGTTTGCGGTTTAGGGTTTAGTGCTTAGGGCTTAGGGTTTAGGGCTGTTAGGGTTTTTATAGGGCTTTTCGGGGCTTGTCAGGCTGTTTTGGTTTGTTTAGTTTGAGGGTTTGGGGTGTGCACGGTTTAAGGCTTAACCCGTCCTCTACTAACCAATACATCATCTCTCGGGCGCAGCCCATCCTTAGCACAAATTTTCGGACGCAGGCACACATCACTTGTTCCACGCTTGCCTTGCGGACTCAAGAAATTTCAAGCTCGCTATAGTTGACTTTGCATTATCATCTACTGCAGACCACTCAGTTGTAATGGCCGTTTTGAAATTGCTCTTTGTTGATTTGAAGCAATTAAATCTAATAATGATCGTAATGTACCAATCTCATTATTTTTACTCGCAGTATAAATACTATTGACAAATTTATATACGTTCTCATTTTGCCATTTGGCTACAATCAAACAATCGATATTATTATTAGGACCAATCTTTAGTGTGATTCTGCACAGCACATCTTCCATTGGTGTTTCAAAGGCAAAACTCCAGCGAACGGGTGCAAGTACTGCAGTTCACCGGTTTCATACCATCGCCACCAACCAGATGAGCATGAACGACGACCAAACTACTGAGGGCAAAGGGTCATATGCTATTCCATACCACTCCCAGACCGCACTATACGATACGGGCTTCGCTATTCAGTATACTTTATACTACCCTGCTAGCCGAGTTCAGCCCAATGAAACTGGCCAGCAAGTAAGTACTATGATAGTGGCCATGCACGAGGACACGCCGGTATTGCAGAAACCGGCGTCTGTTTGTTTCATAGCGCATCCAGACAGGCTTGCGCTCGGATCTCGGTACCCGATGCTAAGCTTAGAGCAGTTCTCTAAGCTCCAGAGACAGCATGCACCCGTAGATTTGTCGACAGGAGTAAGATGTGTTGAGGGGTAACATGTTGCTTTTGTAGGGACACTTAAACTCAATAAGCAAAGGAAAGCTAAATGTTTAATACGATCCCAACCATGAACTAGCAAAGGCAGACTGATTTTCTGGCGCTACCTCAAGACATGGCTGGTCCTGGACATGCTCTTGGTATCTTTGGATGTTCTCAACATCGCCTCGGACTATGCAGGAACGGGCAGCGGGGGACTGGGGGAGGGGAAAGTTTTGATTTCAGAGTAGAGATTTGCCTCTGGTCTTGGGACAAACTGCTGAGGTTGACTTGGAATTCAGCTCTGTGTTCCCTAGTTCAACTTTGCCACCGCCCCCCCCCAAATCCACCCCATTCCACCCCCAGATAAAGACTCAGGCATAGGTTGAGGGTTTAGGTGCCTATCTTACCCTACACCCTAAAGCCCTAAACCCTAAACCCCAAACCCTAAACCCTAAGCCCTAAACCCTAAGCCCTAAACCCTAACCCTAAACCCTAAACTCCTTCTGGGCTCGGGGGCTTCTTTGCCCTGAAGCATTCGAAGGTGTCGCCGTGATCCGCTTCGCCCGGGTGGTGCGCATCTTCCGGCTACTGTTCCAGGGCTACCACTGGGTTTTTGGAGTACTATACTTCAATACTACTTTTTTGGGTTTCTGGTTTCCTATTCTAGCTACTTATACCCAAAAAGTAGTTGTTTGTTTTGAGGGTCTACTACTCCAAAGTAAGGCCGTAAAAAGGGTTCAGGGTTCAGGGTCCAGACAAGCTGTGGTCTAGGGTCTAAGATTCGCGGCACATCATCGATACAGAAGCTGATCACTGAAGGCGCCTGCTGAAGATGACAAAGCTGGACGAGATCACGCAAGAGTCTCTAGGCCCCATCTGGCCGTATCATGCTTGACTTCTTCCAGGCCTAAAAATCTCCCAAGCAACCTCTTGAGCTTGAACTATATCCCCCTGGGAATTATTTTTATTTTTGTTTATATAAAACCCGAGAGGATATTAAACATAGTGTTTTTATCAGGGTTCTAAGGGAGTAGAAGTTCAACGGAGTATAGTGAAGTGTAAACACCGTAAGGATTGCGGCCTCCACTGGCCGTCAGTGGATCATGCTGGTCATGGCATCTTGTCCTGCACTACCATGGCACTTCACCCGGGCTGATGGACTAGGGAATGCCATGTACATCTTGCCAAGACCACGAGCTCGAATGCCTTTGGTTTGCTTATTTTGCTCCACTTGGCTTAGAGAAGACCTGCAAGGAAGGCCCTGAAAGCAATGTGCAAGGTACTCTCTTGGTACATATCCAGGCACGAACTTCGTACTTAGCCAACACACTCAGGCGGTCTGCAACTCTGCCATCGTCACCATGCTTGTGGCTCACATCGTCACATGCTTCTGGTTTTGGGTGGGCACCTCCGCCTCCCGGCAGGATGTCTGAGTCTAGATGGAGTTTTCTCAGGGACCGCTATATGCGCGCCCTGCTTTGTCCCAACATCTTTGACACCATGCAGAAGCAAACGCAGTTCACGATAAAGCTCAGTGAGTGCTCCAGCTGATCCTCGACAGTCGCGCTCCTGTGTCATGCAGGACCTCTTGAAGCGCTCGATTTGAGGGTTTGCGGCCTACCGGAGAGCTTCAAACTCTCGGCAGGCTTCCAGGGCTTCTCGGGTTTAGAGTTGCATCTGCAGTCTAATGACAACCTCGAGTGCTAGATAGGCAGGCCAACTATACCGGCACATTCAAACGGTTACCTAAATCAGGTTCTGCATGAGGGCCGGACCAGCTGGATCGAACTGGCAGAGGCACAGGGCCTTTCACCTGCTTTGCAGCATCCTGGCTGCAATGAGGGCTTCGCAATCAGTATCTTGAGGGTTTAGGGTTTAGGGTTTAGGGACCCAGAGTAGGCCCTCGTGACCCCTTACTTTTCGGGTTTAGGTTACCTTATACGCCCCTTTAGACCCCAAAAGGGCACCCTTTCCATTCCGAGGTTTCTCCTGGGTCTAGGTACGCTGTGGAGGGGAGGTTAGGGTCTATGAGGGGTGCAAGAGGTTGTGTTCTTTCCCGGTTCCTGCAGCCCTGAACCCTAAACCCTAGATGCTCCCAGAGACTAAAGGAGGGACCTTGTAAGGGAATGTCGGGGCAATAGTGGCTATTTTGGTATATAAGGGCTCTAAACCCTCAACCCTCAACCCTCAACCCTCAACCCTCAACCCTCAACCCTCAACCCTCAACCCTCAACCCTCAACCCTCAACCCTCAACCCTCAACCCTCAACCCTCAACCCTCAACCCTCAACCCTCAACCCTCAACCCTCAACCCTCAAAACCCCAACCACACCACAGGGGGGCCCAAACCACAGGGGGCGGGACCCTAAACCCTAAACCCTAAACCCTAAACCCTAAACCCTAAACCCTTAACCCAAACCCCAACCACACCACCCCACAGGGCGGCCATGGGGTGGGGGGGGGGGGGGGGGGGGGGGGGGCGGGGGGGGGCAGCGACGCTGCACCATATATATATATATATATATGTGGCCGAGACCTTTAGGGTCTATTTCACGGCTGGTTCTTCTTTCAGTAGTAGTGCAATAATAATAATAATAATAATAATTTTAATATTATTATGAGTATAATAATACTGACCGTAATTGTAATAGGAATAATAATAGTACTAGTAATAGTAATAGGAATAGGAATAGTAATAATTCTAGTAATAGTATTAGTAGTAGTAACAGTAATAGTGAAGGTTTGGTCTGTGTGTGCACCGGCGCCAGCAAGTGCAGCCATGTAGCTCTAGCACACTTTGAAGTAAGAGATAGACAAGTTGTTTCATAGCCTGAGGAGGGGCGAAGGGCTCTCTCATTTCCGATTACGAGGTAGAGGTGAGCTATCTCATTTCGTAGAAACATAGAGGAGATCTCATTTCCACGACAGAGACATCTTTCACTCAGGAGAGAACGCAAGCTGTTTCATTTCCAAGAAAATAGAGGAGCTCTATCATGTCGCATTAGAAGTGAGAAGCTCTGCACTAAAAGATAGAAGGCATCGATTCGTTTCCCTTTTTCTTTTGCTTATCAAAGGGTCTTTTCAGTTCGAACACAGGATTTCTTTCATGCCCTATAAGAAGGATCGAGGAGCTCTTTCATCTGAGAGATAGAAGAACGCATTCATGAAGTATACACGAGCTCATTTCTCGTCAAGAGGCAGAGGCGTGCCCAGCTCTACCATTACCTAACTCTTACCTGAAATTTCTCTATCTCGCAATAGGTCATGAGAGACCTCCTTTTTCACGCTGCAGGAAATGAGAGAGTTCTCTTCTATGTCGATTTTCAGAAATAGCTTCGCAGCTTCTCTATCAATGAAGAGTTTTGAAGGCCACTCTGGGCCATTCTCTGTCCATCAAATGGGACATGACATAACGCATCTCTCGCTATCGTTTACGTGATAGAGTTTCGCTATCTCTGAATAGGTCATCTGAAAGCTCCTCTGTATCTTTGCAGCAAGTGAAGGAGCTCCTTGCCTCTTCTGCAAGAGCCCTCCGCTTCCTATTTTGCAATGAGCAAGCTCTTTTATCTCCTCTGGTTCCTAATAGGTCATGAGCGGGCTTCCCTCTCTCCTTCTCTTTTAGGGGATAGAGGAGGTTTTTTCATGTTGCGTTAACAGCTAGAGGACATCATTTATATCCATTCTGTCATTTCGTATGAGAAGATACAGGAGCTCATTCATCTCCTAGTCAGAGATTGAAGAACTCGTTCACAAGAGATATAGATGCTCACCCCCCCCCAATGGACCCACCGCGGATGGCAGCCGAGTCCTAGCCAGATCAAGGCAAAAAACAACAAAACAAGAAACTAACAAAAACCAACAAACCAAAAAAATCCAAAAAACCAAAAAAACCAAAAAAAAACCAAAAAAAAAACCATCTTTTCCAAAACTATGGGGCTGGGGCCTCCAAAAGATGGTTTTTTTGGTTTTCTCGAGAAAAAGATGGTTTTTTTGGTCCGAAACCATCTTTTTCTCGAGAAAAAGATGGTTTTTGAGCAGCCGCTCTTCTAAAAACCATCTTTTTCTCGAGAAAAAGATGGTTTTACCAGGACAAGACCTCCAAAAACCATCTTTTTCTCGAGAAAAAGATGGTTTTACCAGGACAAGACCTCCAAAAACCATCTTTTTCTCGAGAAAAAGATGGTTTTTCCAGGACAAGATCTCCAAAAACCATCTTTTTCTCGAGAAAAAGATGGTTTTTTCGAAGAGCGGCTGCTCAAAAACCATCTTTTTCTCGAGAAAAAGATGGTTTCGAACCAAAAAAACCATCTTTTTCTCGAGAAAACCAAAAAAACCATCTTTTGGAGGCCCCAGCCCCATAGTTTTGGAAAAGATGGTTTTTTTGGTTTTTTTGGTTTTTTTTGGTTTTCTCGAGAAAAAGATGGTTTTTTGGTTCGAAACCATCTTTTTCTCGAGAAAAAGATTGTTTTGAGCAACCATCCTTCGAAAAAACCATCTTTTTCTCGAGAAAAAGATGGTTTTACCAGGAGAAGACCTCCAAAAACCATCTTTTTCTCGAGAAAAAGATGGTTTTACCAGGACAAGACCTCCGGAAACCATCTTTTTCTCGAGAAAAGGATGGTTTTTCCAGGGTAAGATCTCTAAAAACCATCTTTTTCTCGAGAAAAAGATTGTTTTTCGAAGAGCGGCTGCTCAAAAACCATCTTTTTCTCGAGAAAAAGATGGTTTCGAACCAAAAAAACCATCTTTTTCTCGAGAAAACCAAAAAAACCATCTTTTGGAGGCCCCAGCCCCATAGTTTTGGAAAAGATGGTTTTTTTTTTGGTTTTTTTGGTTTTTTTGGTTTTTTTGGTTTTTTTGGTTTTTTTGGTTTTTTTTGGTTTTTTTGGTTTTTTTGGTTTTCTCGAGAAAAAGATGGTTAAGTTTTAGGGGTTTAAGCCTCATGCACTACAGGGTTATAAGGTTCTAATCCTATAGGTATTGCCTTAACCTTTAACCCTAAACCTTTAACTTTAAACCCTGCAGGGTTAACCCCGTGAGAAATTTAGAGATAGACCCCGAAAAGACCCTAAACCTTCTTACAGGGTGTCATGGTTTAAAAACCGATAGGACATGTATACCTTCAGCGCCTGTAGGGTTCAAGCCTTTGAACGTGCTAGACCCCTATAGGGTGCTAAGGTTCTGACCCTAGAGGGTTTAGGATTAAGGCTTAAATGCCCTCTAGGTTTAAATGCCTAAGTCTTAAACCCCAAACCTTTAAACCTTCATCTTATGGGGTTTGAAGGTCAAGGGTTTAGGCTTGATTGCCGAGGGCTTTAGGGTCCTGACCCTAGAGGGTTTAGGGTTAAGGAATAGATGCGTAAACCTTAAACCCTTAAGGTTTAAACTCTATGGGCTTAGGGGGCTTAGGTTTTTTTAAACCCTAAGCCTTTAAACCTTCACACTACAGAGTTTAGAGGTGTTAAGGGTGACAAATTGATTACATACTTAGCTTTAAATGCCTGAATCTAAACCCCCAAACCTTTAAACCTTAACCCTATAGGGTTTAAAGGTTAAGGGCTTAGTGTTAATCGCTGTCTTAGGTTTAAATGTCTGAATCTTAAACCCTAAAACTTTAAACCTTCACCCTATAGGGTTTAAAGGTTAAGGGTTTGGGTTGAATCGTCAGCTTGGATTTAAATGTCTAAGTAAAGAATCCTAAACCTTTAAATCTCATCCCTATGGGGTTTAAGGTTAAGGGTTCAATATGAACTGCCGGCATAGGTCTACATACCTAAACCTTAAACTTAAACCCTAAACCTTTAAATATCTTAACCCTATAGGGTTTAAAGGTTAGAGGCTTAGCGTAAATTGCCGGAATAGGTTTAAATGCCTAAATCTTAAGCCCGAAACCTTTAAAACCTTAGCCCAACAGGGTTTAAAGGTTAAGGGTTTAAAATTAGTTGCAGGCTTAATTAGGTTTAAATGCCTACATCTTATATCCTAAACCTTTAAAAATCTTAACCCTATAGGGTTTAAAGGTTAAGGGCTTGGCTACAGGTTTAAATGGCTAAATATTAAACCCTAAGCCTCTAAACTTTAACCCTACAGGGTTTAAAGGTTAAGGGTTTAAAATTAGTTGCAGGCTTAGGTTTAAATGCCTACATCTTAAAACCCTAAACCTGTAAAAATCTCAACCCGATAGAATTTAAAGGTTAAGGGCTTAGCTTTAATTACCGGCATAGGTTCAAATGCCTAAATCTTAAACCCTTAACCTTTAAACCTTAACCCTACAGGGTTTAAAGGTTAAGGTTTTTTTTTGCAGGCTTAGGTTAAATGCCTAGATCTTAAATTATAAACAAAAGCCAACAGAAAGAAAAACCCTCCGTGCGTGTGTGAGAGGGTGAATTAAGGAATACAGTCAAAAATCCGGTCACCGGAAAATCACCAGAAAGCATAGGTTTTATCGGTATTTGCGGTACTTTTGCAAAGATCAAGGCCCGCGGTGGGTCCATTGGGGGGGGGTGACCATATATATATAAGCAAATCCTCTCTACCATGTTGAATAAAAAAAAACAAAAAGAGCTCTCTCATGTCCTACCTAGTTCATTTGCCGTCACCAGCGCTCAGCTCTACCATTTCGTATCTTTCATATGACATAGCTTCTCTATCTCGCAATAGGTCATGAGAGACCTCCTCTTTCTTTTGCAGGAAATGAGAGAGGTCTCTATCTACCTTTTGTGAAAGAGCTCCCTTTGTTCAATCACAAGAACTCATTCATAGAAGCTGTAAGAGCTCTCGAATGTACTTTCTTGTTAATTTCCCGTCGATAGGTAGAGGAGCTCACAGCTCTACCACATCCTACCCTTTACATGGAAGAGGCTCCTCTATCTCGTAGCGGTTCAAGAAAGATTGTCTCTATCTCTTTGCAGAACATTAGAGAGTCCTCTACCTACCTCTTGTGAAAGAGCTCCTTCACCTCAAAATCAAATGCCACAACTCGTCTATCTTTCACTGGGACATGAGACAGCTCCATTGTGAATTTCTATTCAGAAATAGCTGCTTCTCTATCGATGAAGAAATCATGCGAGTAGCCGTTTATCGATGCATAAGAAATGACATAGCTCTTCTACCTTTTTGCGACAGATCTCTTCTTTACCCGAAATGAAAGTTTGGAAGGCCATTCTCTATCCCTTGAATGGGGACACAACTCATCAGTCTATCGTTTACGTGAGAGAGTTTCGCTATCTCTGAACAGGTCATCTGAAAGCTCCTTTGTGTCTGCGCAGCAAGTGAAGGAGCTGCTTGCCTCTTCTGCAATAGCTCCTCCGCTTCCTATTTTGCAATGAGCAACCTCTTCTATCTCCTTTGGTTCCTATTTCTCGTTTGCCATCACTAGGCAGAGGAGCTCTCAGCTCTACCATGACCTATCCTTTACATGAAAGAGGCTTCTCTATCTCGTAACGGTTCATGGAGTCATGACAGATCTTCTCTATCTCTTTGCAAGAAAAGAGAGAGTGCTCTACCTACCTCGTGTGAAAGAGCTCCTCCACCCCTTGTGATCGAGAGTGACAGAACTCGTCTATCTTTCAATGGTGCATGAGCCAGGTTTTTTGTTTGTATTTGAGAAAAAGCTTGTCTACCCGTGAAATAATAAGAAATGAATAGCTCTTCTACCTTTCTGTGACAGATCTCTCCTTTATTCGAAATGAAAGTCTGGAAGGCCATTCTCTATCCCTGAAATGGGGCATGACATAACTTTTCAATCTCTATCGTTTACGTGATCGAGTTTCGCTATCTCTGAATAGGTCATCTGAAAGCTCCTCTGTATCTTTGCAGCAAGTGAAGGAGCTCCTTGCCTCTTCTGCAAGAGCCCTCCGCTTCCTCTTTTGCAATGAGCAAGCTCTTTATCTCCTCTGTTTCCTAACAGGTCATGAGACAGCTCATTTCCACACTGTCATTTCGTATGCGAAGACACAGGAGCTCATTCATTTTCTATTCAGAGATTGAAGAACTCATTCATAAGAAATGTATGAAAGTTCTCTCATGTCCTATCTAACTGATTTCCCGTCACTAGGCAGAGGAGTCCTCAGCTCTACCATTTCTTATCTTTATATGACATAGCTTCTCTATCTCGCAATAATCAGGTCGTGAGAGACCTCCTCTTTCTTTTACAGGAAATGAGAGAGGTCTCTATCTACCCTTTGTGAAAGAGCTCCCTTTGTTCACTGGCAAGAACTCATTCATGAAAGCTATAAGAGTTCCCGTCGATAGGTAAAGGAGCTCACAGCTCTTCTATATCTTACCCTTTACATGAAAGAGGCTCTCTATCTCGTAGCGGGTCATGAAAGATCGTCTCTATCTCTTTGCCGGACATGAGAGAGTCCTCTACCTACCTCTTGTGAAAGAGCTCCCCCACCTCGTAACGTACAAAGACAGAACTCGTCTATCTTTCAATGGGACATGATCCGTCTCTTTGGTTTTGGTTGAGAAAAGCTTCTCTATCCATGAAGCAAACATGAGAGAAGCCGATTGTCTCTAGGCTGCTTATCGCTTCGTAGGAAATGACATAGCTCTTTTACCTTTTGCGAGAGATCAACCCTAATTGAAGGTTTCGAAGGCCTATCCCTGAAATGGAGCGTCGCATAACTCATCAGTCTCTCTCGCTTACGTGAGACAGCATTTATTCTATTTCGTAACAGGTCATCTAAACGCTCTTCTATGCGTTTGTAGAAGTAAAAGAGCTCCTTGCCTCTTGTGCAAAAGCTCCTCCGCATCCTAAAGAGCAATGAGCAAGCTCTTCTATCTCCTCTCTCTTGAATAGGTCATGAGAGGGCTCCCCTCCCTCTGGTTGAGGGAATGACAGAGCTCCTCCGCCCCTTACGAAAGAGCCTTTCTCCTGCTTGAAAAGCTGCGGGCGGGTGCGTAGGTTTGGGAGGGCTCCTTTTCACATCTTTATCTTTCCGACTCCGAGATATAGGAGCTCATTTTTTCGAAAGTGGTAGCAGAGATCTCTCATTTCCAAGAGATCTTTGTCACTCAGGGAGAAAGCAAGGTTTTGATTTCAAAGAAATGGAGGAGCTCTTTCATGTCCCATTAAGAGTGTGGAGCGCTCTCATTACGCATGAAAAGATTGATGACATGGATTCGTTACCATTCTTTAACTTTTCTCGAAGGGTCTTTTCTTTTCATATGCAGGATCTCTTTCATTTCCTATGAGAAGATAGAGGAGCTCTTTCATCTCAAACATAGAAGAATGCATTCATAAACGGTATAAGAGCTCTCCCATGAACTATATCTCATCGTAGGGGGCATAGGAGTCTTAGGGGGCTCAGGATTCGCGTGCAGGGTGTAGGGTTTATAGGGCTACGGGAATTTAATGGAGGGTGTATTTGTGTAGTCTGCCTATTACCGTAACAAACCCGTGACATTACTTGCAAGACTGCTTCTTGAAAGCAAGAGCGCTAGTGTCTAACCATTGTACATTCCTACATGAGATACCCCACCACATCTTGAAAACACCTCTTTCTCCAAGGGTTTACTGGGGCATTAAGGAACAAGAACGTGATGGTTTCAGCACCAAAGTAAGGGAATAGCAAAGGGTTTCCAGGGAAAACTTCCCTGATGCAACCGGTCTCTATCTCACAAGAGGTCATGAGAGACCTCCTGTATCACATTGCAGGAATGAGAGAGTTCTCCACCATGTTTGTTTTCCGAAATAGCTTCTCTATCAATGAAGAGTTTTGAAGGTCGCCCTGGGCCATTCTCTGTCCGATAAATGAGACATGACATAACTCATTAGTCTCTATTAAGAGAGTCTCTATCTCTACGTGATCGAGTTTCGCTATCTCTGAATATACGTCGTCTGAAAGCTCCTCTGTGTCTTTGTAGCAAGTGAAGGAGCTCCTTGCCTCTTCTGCAAGAGCTCCTCCGCTTCCCCTTTTGCAATGAGCAAGCTCTTCTATCTCCTCTGGTTCCTAACAGGTCATGACTTCTGCAAGAGCTCCTCCTCTTGATATTTTGCAATGAGCAAGCTCTTCTATCTCCTAATAGGTCAGAGAGGGCTTCCCTCTCTCCCACTCTTGTAGAGGGCATCGTTCATTTCCTGTCTGTCATTACGTATGAGAAGAGACAGGAGCTCATTCATCTCCTAATCAGAGATTGAAGAACTCCTTCAGGAGAGCTCTCTCATATCCTATCCTTTTGGTTCCCCGTCACTAGGTCCCTAGGTAGAGGAGCTCTCAGCGTCTCAGCTCTACCGTTTGCTACCTTCTACGTGGCAGAGCTTCTTTATCTCGCAATAGGTCATGAAAGACTTTCCAGCAAATGAGAGAGTTCTCTACTTTACCGCTTGCGAAAGAGCTCCCCTTTTTCAATGACAAGAATTCACTCATACAAGCTACAAGAGCACTCTAATGTCCTGTCTTGCTCATTTCCCGTCAATGGGTAGACGAGCTCGCAGCTCTACCGTTTCCTACCCTTTACATGAAAGAGGCTCCTCTATCTCGTAGCGGGTCATGAAAGATCGTCTCTATCTCTTTGCCGGATATGAGAAAGTCCTCTACCTACCTCTTGTGAAAGAGCTCCCCCACCTCGCAACGTACAAAGACACAACTCGTCTATCTTTCAATGGGACGTGATTCTCCTTTGCTTTTGGTAAGCCCGAACGACTACCGGAATTAACTTCTTGCATTTCTTGTTTTTCTCACAGACAGGAAGAAGTTACGGAAATTAATGAATTGTGAATTTCTTTAATTTGTTTTCATTAATCTCGCAAGCCCGAACAGCTGCCGGAATTAGTTTCATGAATTTCATTAATTTCTTTGATTTCTTTATTGTTTGAATTTCTGAAAACCTTTAATTTCTTTAACTCCCTCAATTTCTTGAATTTCTTTACTTTCTGTAATTTCGTTTAATTAGTCTCGCAAGCCCGAACGGCTGCCTGAATTAATTTCTTTAATTTCTTTTTTATTTCTTTAATTTCTTTAATTTCTCACAGAGAGACCCAGAAATTAAAGAAATTAAAGAAATTAATTGGGGGAGCCCACCCAACTCACGGGACTAATTTAAACTAGAAGACGATTGGCCCGAAAGCATCGATTTGCGGTGCGTTGAGTCTATGCACTTGACTCTGTGCGCTCGAACTGTATGCACTTGGACAAGTGTATGCACTTAAGTGTATGCACTTATATGGTTGCATACTCACTTGTATACTGCACTTGTATACTGGACGTGTATGCACTCGAACTGCATGGCACTCAAGTGTGTTGAGTTGAATGCCATGCACTTGTGGTCAACTCTATACACTTCATTGGCATTCAATAGATCTGAAGTAAACGGACTTGAACTGTATGAACTTCACTTGCATGCACCCGACTCGGCTGCGCACGTCCTGTCAACGCGATGCTATGAAAGAAAAGACAAAAACATCTAACGCGAGAGCCGTCAGCCATGAGCATCATCGGCAGTCGCTCTGAAGTCCAAGCTCACACTCCAGAGCGCCTTTCAAAGAAAAAAGGACAGAAGAGCGAGGTTGGCAAGAAGACCTTGGAGCTTCAAAGAGCAGAGAAGCACAGTGAAATCTGACCGAAGTGAGTTTCGCACGCCGGGAATTAAATAACAATGAAATTTGCGATGTTTTCGCACGCTCGGCATTGGAGCACCATGTGATTTTGCGAAATCATTAACCATGGTATTTGCGATGGTTTTGGAACCAGCGAATTCGGGGACCATGGTATTTGCCATGGTTTGGAACCAGCGAATTCGGGGACCATGGTATTTGCGATGCTTTTGGAGCCAGCGAATTCGGGGACCATGGCATTTGCGATGCTTTTGGAAGCAGCGAATTCGGGGACCATGGTATTTGCGATGCTTTTGGAACCAGCGAATTCGGGGACCATGGTATTTGCGATGGTTTTGGAAACAGCGAATTCGGGGACCATGGTATTTGCGATTCTTTTGGAAACAGCGAATTCGGGGACCATGGTATTTGCCATGGTTTGGAACCAGCGAATTCGGGGACCATGGTATTTGCGATGCTTTTGGAACCAGCCACGGAAGCCAGCCACGGAAGCTCCTTGCGATGGTTTTGGAAACAGCGAATTCGGGGACCATGGTATTTGCGATGCTTTTGGAAGCAGCGAATTCGGGGACCATGGTATTTGCCATGCGTTTGGAACCAGCGAATTCGGGGACCATGGTATTTGCGATGGTTTTGGAACCAGCCACGGAAGCTCCTTGCGATGGTTTTGGAAACAGCGAATTCGGGGCTAGTCTCGCAAGCCCGAAGGGCTACCGGAATTTATTTCTTTAATTTCTTTAATTTCGCACAGAGAGGCCCATAAACTAAAGAAATTAAAGAAATTAAAGAAATTAATTGGGGGAGCCCCCCCGGCTCACGGGACTAATTTAAATAAATTAAAGAAATTAATGAAATTAAAGAAATTAATTAATTTCTTTAATTTCTTTAATTTCGCACAGAGAGGCCCAGAAATTAAAGAAATTAATGAAATTGATTAATTTATTTAATTTCTTTAATTTCTCACAGAGAGGCCCAGAAATTCAATAAATTCAAGAAATTAATTAATTTCATTAATTTCTTTAATTTCTTTAATTTCATTAATTTCTTTTAATTAGTCTCGCAAGCCCGAAGGGCTACCGGAATTAATTTCTTTAATTTCTTTAATTTCTCACAGAGAGGCCCAGAAATTAAAGAAATTAAAGAAATTAATTGGGGCCCCCCCCCCGGCTCACGGGACTAATTAAAATAAATTAAAGAAATTAATGAAATTAATGAAATTAAAGAAATTAATTAATTTCTTTAATTTCTTTAATTTCGCACAGAGAGGCCCAGAAATTAAAGAAATTAATGAAATTAATTAATTTCTTTAATTTCTTTAATTTCTCACAGAGAGGCCCAGAAATTAAAGAAATTAATGAAATTAATTAATTTCTTTAATTTCTTTAATTTCTCACAGAGAGGCCCAGAAATTAAAGAAATTAAAGAAATTAATTAATTTCAATTTCTTTAATTTCTTTAATTTCTTTAATTTCTTTTAATTAGTCTCGCAAGCCCGAAGGGCTACCGGAATTAATTTCTTTAATTTCTTTAATTTCTCACAGAGAGGCACAGAAATTAAAGAAATTAAAGAAACTAATTGGGGTAGCCCCCCCGGCTCACGGGACTAATTAAAATAAATTAAAGAAATTAATGAAATTAATGAAATTAAAGAAATTAATTAATTTCTTTAATTTCTTTAATTTCGCACAGAGAGGCCCAGAAATTAAAGAAATTAATGAAATTATTTAATTTCTTTAATTTCTCACGGAGAGGCCCAGAAATTAAAGAAATTAATGAAATTAATTAATTTCTTTAATTTCTTTAATTTCTCACAGAGAGGCCCAGAAATTAAAGAAATTAAAGAAATTAATTGGGGGGCCCCCCCCGGCTCACGGGACTAATTAAAATAAATTAAAGAAATTAATGAAATTAATGAAATTAAAGAAATTAATTGATTTCTTTAATTTCTTTAATTTCGCACAGAGAGGCCCAGAAATTACAGAAATTAATGAAATTAATTAATTTCTTTAATTTCTTTAATTTCTCACAGAGAGGCCCCGAAATTAAAGAAATTAATGAAATTAATTAATTTCTTTAATTTCTTTAATTTTTCACAGAGAGGCCCAGAAATTAAAGAAATTAAAGAAATTATTGGGGGGGCCCCCCCGGCTCACGGGACTAATTAAAATAAATTAAAGAAATTAATGAAATTAATGAAATTAAAGAAATTAATTAATTTCTTTAATTTCTTTAATTTCGCACAGAGAGGCCCAGAAATTAAAGAAATTAATGAAATTAATTAATTTCTTTAATTTCTTTAATTTCTCACAGAGAGGCCCAGAAATTAAAGAAATTAATGAAATTAATTAATTTCTTTAATTTCTTTAATTTCTCACAGAGAGGCCCAGAAATTAAAGAAATTAAAGAAATTAATTAATTTCATTAATTTCTTTAATTTCTTGAATTTCGTCTCGCAAGCCCGAAGGGCTACCGGAATTAATTTCTTTAATTTCTTTAATTTCTCACAGAGAGGCCCAGAAATTAAAGAAATTAAAGAAATTAATTGGGGGGGGCCCCCCGGCTCACGGGACTAATTAAAATAAATTAAAGAAATTAAAGAAATTAATGAAATTAATGAAATTAAAGAAATTAATTAATTTCTTTAATTTCTTTAATTTCGCACAGAGAGGCCCAGAAATTAAAGAAATTAATGAAATTATTTAATTTCTTTAATTTCTTTAATTTCTCACAGAGAGGCCCGGAAATTAAAGAAATTAATGAAATTAATTAATTTCTTTAATTTCTTTAATTTCTCACAGAGAGGCCCAGAAATTAAAGAAATTAAAGAAATTAATTAATTTCATTAATTTCTTTAATTTCTTTAATTTCTTTAATTTCTTTTAATTAGTCTCGCAAGCCCGAAGGGCTACCTGAATTAATTTCTTTAATTTCTTTAATTTCTCACAGAGAGGCCCAGAAATTAAAGAAATTAAAGAAATTAATTGGGGTAGCCCCCCCGGCTCACGGGACTAATTAAAATAAATTAAAGAAATTAATGAAATTAAAGAAATTAATTAATTTCTTTAATTTCTTTAATTTCGCACAGAGAGGCCCAGAAATTAAAGAAATTAATGAATTTCTTTAATTTCTCACAGGGAGGCCCAGAAATTAAAGAAATTAATGAAATTAATTAATTTCTTTAATTTCTTTAATTTCTCACAGAGAGGCCCAGAAATTAAAGAAATTAAAGAAACTAATTAATTTCATTAATTTCTTTAATTTCTTTAATTTCATTAATTTCTTTTAATTAGTCTCGCAAGCCCGAAGGGCTACCGGAATTAATTTCTTCAATTTCTTCAATTTCTTTAATTTCTTTAATTTCTTTAATTTCTCACAGAGAGGCCCAGAAATTAAAGAAATTAAAGAAATTAATTGGGGGAGCCCCCCCGGCTCACGGGACTAATTAAAATAAATTAAAGAAATTAATGAAATTAAAGAAACTAATTAATTTCATTAATTTCTTTAATTTCGCACAGAGAGGCCCAGAAATTAAAGAAATTAATGAAATTAGTTAATTTCTTTAATTTCATTTATTTCCCTAAGAGAGCCCCAGAAATTAAAGAAATTAAAGAAATTAATAGGTAAATAAATTAAATTCCTCATACAAGTGATATACGTGAAATGGACCCAAAAGGTCCCTCTCACATATATATATATATGTATAGGTTATATAGGGGAGTAAGATTAAGGGTCCCTTCTGGATGTGCCCCAAGGAGGTTTGCCAGTTTGTCTCCCATGCATGCTGCCCGGAATCCGGGGAGGGTGCCCACTGGTCATGGGGACCCCAAAAGGGGGTTCTGCAGTAATTTAGGGAAAGCTACACCCTGTCCGGTAGTTACCCAAACCCTAAACCCTGAACCCTAAACCCTCAACCCTCAACCCTAAACCCTAAACCCTAAACCCTAAGCCCTACCTGCATCTCCAAGGTATATCCACGCCATTCGATATGTCATGAACCCGCCGGCACCCCCTGCAATCGTGGCGGACAGCGGGAGAGAGCGGGCCTTCGACATCCTGAACTTTGTGTTCCTTGGGCTCCAGGTTAGGGTTTAGGGTTTAGGGTTTCAGGTTTAGGGTTTGGGGTTTAGGGTTTCAGGTGTAGGGTTTAGGGTTTAGGGTTTAGGGGAACTACAGCCCCCTCTCTGGGAGTGTCTTCTACTCTTTGGCTTATTGATAAAACCCGAACTACCAAGATCCTGATAAACAGCCGCGCTTGTATTGTTTTTGAACAACACGTGGGGCTATTTAAGGTTAGTATGCTGGCTTTGGTTCCAAGCACCCTACAACTCCACATTTTCGTTAACTAAATGCAATTGCAGACCCCTACCCGGTGATGCCAAATCCTTGGCCCTTATCATGACCTCATGATTTCGGCATTCAAAATTTGTTTGCTTTCTCCTGTTGTCGGGGTCTAGCCACCACCCAAGATACCCATTCTTTGGGATGTTCCCCCATATACAAACAATAGGGATCAAAGACCCCCTACTATAGTCCCCGTTAAGGACTGTCAGCATAAGGGGGAACATCCCAACCCATTCTAGCTAACTAGGCCCCTGACACTATCTCAAGGATGGGGGCTATATAGGGTATATGTACGTAACATACATAAAAAAGAAAAAATAAATAAATAAATAAATATACATATATATATATATATTCTTAGGGGTTGTATAGGGGAAATGAGATTTAAGGGTCCCTTGTAGGGGTCCCTCCTTACCCTAAACCCTAAACCCTAAGCCCCAAACCCTACAGCCTCCTTATATCACCCCTTGTGACTGCTCTTGTCGGAGGTTCACCTTGGTTGTCATCGGCGGCACCGTCTCGAAGATCTCAGGGACCTTGGCGGAACTGCGTGCTATGAGCCTTGGCTGCCCTCACTACAAGGCAAGGGTCTGTGACACCCTGGTTCTCTAACCCTAAACCCTAAACCCTAAACCCTGTATTGGGACCTATGCAAAGGAAGATGAGGCACCCTTATTCCAATTTTTTTGTTAGGGGTCAGCAGCCCCTCTCAACCCAACAACATCAAGAAGGGCACCCCTTTTTCTCCTGGGGAACAAAGCTTGCTGCTTGAAGGAGTTTGCGGTTTAAGGTTTAGTGTTCTCCCACCCCCCCCCCCCCCCCCCCAAACCAAAAAAAGTAGCTCCCTATATAGACTCTGTAAAGCCTCAGACCCAGTTTGTGCATCACAAGAGCGCCCATGCATCAGCTACTCCAGAATATGGTCGCACTGGAGGCCTCGACACAAAAGGCCCTGGCGACTTGACACCACACCCCAAACCCTAAACCCTTTACCTTAAACCCTTAACCCTTAACCCTAAACCCTAAACCCTAAACCCTAAGTTCTAAACCCACCCACAGAAGAAGTGGCTCGGACCCAAGAGGCCCTTCATGAGCTACAATCATGTCTCATATTTTGGGGTGCACCCCTCAAATTTCATGTCCCTATCATAGGTACAAGTAGTGAAGGGACCTATAACCTAAGTTGTGGTACCCATAACTCATAACCCAATTTAGGGCCCTTACAACTCTACCTATAACTAGTGGGGCCCTCCTACTTGTATCTCTCAAAACGAACCCTAAACCCTACATATCGGTGTCCTTCTCATAGGCGCCCAAAACGGCTCTCCAATTCAGGGGAACCCCTAAACCCTAAACCCTAAACCCTAAACCCTAAACCCTAAACCCTAAACCCTAAACCCTAAACCTGCCACAAGTCAGGAATGAGTCGCGTGCCCGGCAAAAGCGCGAGATCCGGGCAGCTTGGTGAGAAGAAGTCTTCGGTTGGCAGCCGCGCGGTCTCGGGTTTAGGGTTTAGGGTTTAGGGTTTAGGGTTTAGGGTTTAGGGTTTAGGGTTTAGGGTTTAGGGGGTCTTCAATGTAGGGTTTGGGGGGTCACACCTATTAAGCTGCAGGTTCTGAATTGCCCCTAAACCCTAAACCCTAAACCCTAAACCCAGTATACCATTGCGAGTACAGGGACTTGATGACCCTACCGCAGCTCAGATCTGGCAGTCGATGTCCGCGCATGGGCACCTTGATTTAGAGCCTGCAAGGTCCCTAAAGCCCCAGACAGAGACAATGGTATACGTTTTGGGGTTTAGGGCTTAGGGTTTAGGTTTAGGGTTTAGGGTTTAGGGTTTAGGGTTTAGGGTTTAGGGTTTAGGGTTTAGGGTTTAGGGTGAATAGCAGAAAGTCCCAGCCATGCAGGTCGCAAGCCCCCATCTAGCACTGGCGGAGCTTCAGACTTAACTGAGACCCCAAACCCTACAACTAGGGTCTTGAAGGCAGGAGCCCTAAACCCTAAACCCTAGACCCTAAACCCTAAACCCTAAACCCTATACCCTATAAGCCCTAAACCCTAAGTTGCCAGGTATACCTCAGCCACCAGGATGCCTCGTTTGAGCTCGTGTCTCGAATCATGAGGTGCCCTGCAAACACTTGAGTTTAGGGTTTAGGGTTAGGGTTTAGGGTGGGTCCGGGTTTTTTTTTTGCAAAGGTGTGGCTCGGCCCTGTCCCCTTGCAAAGGTGTGGCTTGGCTTGGCTTGGCTTGGCTGGGCGTGTCCTCTGACCTGGCTTGGCTTGGCTTGGCTCGGCTTGTCCTCTGGCTTGGCTTGGCTCGGCTTGGCTTTCGTTGGCTTGGCTCCTTGGCTTGGCTTGGCTCGGGTGGGCTCGGCTCGGCTTGGCTTGGCCTGGCTGGCTTGGCTTGGCTTGGCTCGGCGTGGCTTGGCTCGGCTTGGCCTGGCTTGGGTGCCGACTTCGTTTTGATTTCCCTGTTCTCCCCAGTCGCAAAGATTCTTTTTACCGCGATGTAGCTGTAGCTGGTAGAAATACGTGGAGTGTATATATGTAGTATGCGCAAGCATTGAGTTTGCAAATGGCTGCGCCCCCCCAACCCCCCCCGCTTTTTTAAGCCGTGCAAGCTTGCGTCAAAGCATATGAGTCTTGTTGAAACCCATGATGCAAGCATTGAGTTTGCAAATGGGGGGGGGCTGCGCCCCCCCCAACCCCCCGCTTTTTTTGAGCCGTGCAAGCTTGCGTCAAAGCATATGATTCTTGTTGAAACCCATGATGCAAGCATTGAGTTTGCAAATGGGGGGGGCTGCGCCCCCCCCAACCCCCCCGCTTTTTTTGAGCCGTGCAAGCTTGCGTCAAAGCATATGAGTCTTGTTGAAACCCATGATGCAAGCATTGAGTTTGCAAATGGGGGGGGCTGCGCCCCCGCCAACCCCCCCGCTTTTTTAAGCCGTGCAAGCTTGCGTCAAAGCATATGAGTCTTGTTGAAACCCATGATGCAAGCATTAAGTTTGCAAATGGCCCCCCCGGTGTTGGAACCCATGATGCAAGCATTGAGTTTGCAAATGGGGGGGGCTGCGCCCCCCCCAACCCCCCCGCTTTTTTAAGCCGTGCAAGCTTGCATCAAAGCATAAGAGTCTTTTTGAAACCCATGATGCAAGCATTGAGTTTTCAAATGGGGGGGGGGCTGCGCCCCCCCGAACCCCCCGCTTCTGAAAGCCGTGCAAGCTTGTTTCAAAGCATATGAGTTTTTTTGAAACCTAGAGGCAAGCATTGAGTTTGCAAATAAGGGGGAGGGAGTCGAGGTGGTGAGGTGGGGGGTGGGGTGGGAGCGGGGAGGGGGGTGGGGGGGGGGGGTGTGTGGGGGGGGTGGGGGGGGGGGGGGGGGTGGGGGGGGGGCGGGGGGGGGGGGGGTGGGGGGGGGTGGGGGGGGGTGGGGGGGGGTGTGGGGGGGTGGTGGGGGGGGGGGGGGGGTGGGTGGGGGGGGGTGGGGGGGGTGGGGGGGGGGTGGGGGGGGGTGGGGGGGGGTGGGGGGGGGGGGGGGGTGGGGTGGGGTGGGGGGGGGGGGGTTACCGAGCCGCACCCTTTGCAAGAGGACAGGGCCGAGCCACACCCTTGCAAAAAAAAAAACCCTCCGCCGTTTAGGGTTTAGGGTGTAGGGTTTAGGGTTTAGGGTTTAGGGTTTAGGGTGTAGGGATTTGGCCAGCGCAGCCTTGGTACTGTGTACCCTTAAAGGGAAACGTACCTGACTTCCTCCGGAAGTACAAGGAGGGCCCCCCCTTACCATACTAACTTTTGTTAAGGGGCTTATAACCTAAGGTAGGATCCTTAAAAACCCAATTTAGGGGCCCTAGAACTCTACTTATAACTAGGGGATCCCCTCCTTGTATGCCTTTTTCCAAGGTACAAGCTTACTCTTGGGTATTTGGCTTGGGGCTTGGGGTTTCGGGTTTAGGGCTGACGGGACCTCTCGGGTAACCCTAAACCCTAAGCCCTAAGCCCTAAACCCTCAACCCTCAACCCTAAACCCTAAACCCTAAACCCTAAGCCGCTCTACTTCGGGGATCTGCACGCCAACTTACGGGTTGACGGTTTTGGCTCGGCTGTTGTGAAAGCCACGCTCAAGCCGTTGGCAAAAAAAAAGTTCGCGATCCCAATACGCGTCATAGTTCGGAACTATGCTGTATCTTAACCTCCACGGCTTCTGCTCCCAGTCGTAGCAAACCCTATAAACCCTAACCCCGAAACCCGCGAGAGTCGAAACCCTACAAACCCTATAAACCCTCATCCCTAAACCCTAAACCCTAAACCCTACACCCTAAACCCTAAACCCTAAACCCCAAACCCTATATCTCCAAAACCCAAACCGGGCCAGGTTCGTCGACTACAAGCTGGAGAAAAACACCCCAATCTCCTTCGACAGTGCCCCGGCCAAGCCGAGCCGGATGTATTCAAGGGGTTGGGGTTTAGGGTTTAGGGTTTAGGGTTTAGGGTTTAGGACTTAGGGTTTAGGGCTTAGGGCTTAGGGCTTAGGGTTTAGGGTTTAGGTTTTTTTTTTTTTTTGGGGGGGGGGTTCAGTCTTGGGGTTTACGATTTAGGGCAATCTTGCGGTTAGAGGTTGCAAGTGGTTGAGGTGTTGCTTATGAGTTGAGATGGAAACCTCCCCAGACCCTGCACCAAACAACCTAAACCCTACATAAATCCTAAACCCTACGCCCCAAACCTGAACCGCCGTGCCGTGCTCTTTATGGAAATGCCTACCGCACCCTAAACGTCAAAACCATTTCAAGATGCTCGTTACGAGAAGTCCCTTCGGACTTGTAGGTTTGCGGGTTTAATTGCTTGACGTAAAGGGCGCCCTGGGTTGACAAAGGGCGTCCTGAGTTTTTTAAACTCTCAAGGTTGGTTCCAGCCCCAAAGCCCTAGCCGCGAAACCCTAAACCCTAAACCCTGAACCCTGAACCCTTCTAGAGGGCGGGGAGGGAAAAGCCATAGTGGTAGGGTTCTCGTCGCGCGCAGGCTCCCTGATTTCCATCACGCTCCAGACCGAGCTCTACGTCAACCAGCGAGGCGACTTCCGGGCGATTTTAGGGTTTGAGGTCGGTTTATCGGGGCTACTGGGCACCAGAGAAGGGACCCTAAACCCTAAACCCTCAACCCTCAACCCTAAACCCTAAACCCTAAACCCTAAACCCACAGTGTAGCTTGGCCACCTTCCTGCGCGCGACCGCGCAGGGGAAGGGGCCTAATGCACCAGGACGCCTGGGGGCATGAGCCACGTCATGTAGGGTTTAGGGTTCAGGGCTTTGGGTTCGTGGCTCAGGGTTAACTGAAGCTGCCGGGAGCATGAGCCCATCCTCCCGTCGAACTCTCGCAAAAAACGGACCTGGAAAATCCGAGAGCGTTTCGGCGCAATTCGGCACCAAAGTCCCCCCCCCCCCCCCCAGTTTTTTACCTTCGCAGTAGCCTCCCGCCCAGTTAAGGCATTTCGGGGTTTAGGGTTCAGGGTGTAGGGTTTAGACAGGGTTTAGGGTCCTGGCCTCAGACTGCGACGTGCAACCTAAGCTGGAAGACTTTGCCGCGCCATAACCCGAAACCCTAAACCCCAAACCGTGGCTTTTGGCTCCATAGCTCTACTTATGACCCTTGGGCCCCCGCTCCTTGTAGTTGCGCCCGGGAGCGAAGAAACCCCTCGACTCTAGACCCCAAACCCTGAACCACAACCCTGAACCCTGAACCCTGAACCCTGAACCCTGAACCCTGAACCCTCAACCCTCAACCCTAAACCCTAAACCCTAAACCCTAAACCCTAAACCCTAAACCCTACTCACCACACAGCGCTTGCCAGGAAAGTTTCTTGAGTCAGTGCCCATCTTCAGCCTCACCAAGCAGGCCTTTCCTGAGTGCCACCTGGCTCTTCTTTGCTTAGGGTTTAGGGTTTAGGTTTTAGGGTTTAGGGTTTAGGGTTTAGGGTTTAGGGTCTAGGGTTTAGGGTTTAGGGTTTAGGGTTGTGGGGCTCTAGAAAACCCAAAGCCACTTGAGGCTTGAAATCCTAGTGGTGCCCTTTTGTCCTTTTTTTGTTGGTTCAAGGTTCCCTTATCAAGTACCCACCCAAAAGAAAGTATCCAACATATGGCTATTGGGCTACCGAGCTTCTTTACTTAGCTACGAAGTATGCAAGCTGTTTATGGTGTTTTCCGGTTCTTTTGTGGAGGGGGAGTTGGGGGTTTAGGGTTTAGGGTTTGGGGTTTGGGGTTTGGGGTTTGGGGTTTGGGGTTTGGGGAGTAGGGAAGAAGGGCGAGACAGGCAGTGGTGAGGAGACCTGCTGCAATAGCCCTAAACCCTAAACCCTAAACCCTGAACCCTAAACCCTAAACCCCCTAAGACCTAAACCCTAAGACCTAACCCCTAAACCCTAAACCCCGAGGGGGGGGGGGGGGGGGGGGGGGGGGGGGCTGTGTAAAACAAGAAGTGCAACCCCCCCTTGAAATCCCATCCGGGAAGCCTACGTTCGCAGGGTGCCAGGTTTCAGGCTGCCTGCTAGTAGGGTTTAGGGTTTTAGGATTTTAGGGTTTAGGGTTTAGGGTTTAGGGTTTAGGGCTTCAGTCAGAGGCTTGAGTGTCAAGAGTAGCTCCACTAAACCACAATTTTTAGTTACTTTTTGTGGAGTTGTGTCATACAAAAATGTACGCCCACCGCCTACCCTAAACCGCTCACCCTATGCTAAACAGCATACCGACAGCTTCCCTAAGGATCTATGTGCATCTATAGTACATGCGTGGGCCTTAAAGGGGTTCCTATTTTAGTACTCAGTAGCTGAGTGGGCACCCTTTACACTTTTTGGGATACGATAATCTCCTATAGAACTGAGAGTGTACACTTTTCTGGGACTTATGAACTCAGCAACTAAGCCTAAACCCTAAACCCTAAAAAGCAACCAACCCAAAAAAGGGTGCCCTTATCATAATATGCTTACTGGGCTACTAACCCTAAACCCTAAAAAGTAACCAACCAAAAAAGGGTGCCCTTATCATAATATGCTTTCTGGGCCGCTAACCCTAAACCCTAAGGTATTAGTAGCTTTTTAAGGCCTAAGTATATACCATGCAGCTTGTGCGGAATCCTTGGGGCCTCTTTCTTAGGGTTCAGGTTCAGAACTAGCCCCGCGATCCTTGCGCAGCATGAGCTCCGCTAGGGTTTAGGGTTTAGGGTTTACGGTTTTAGGGTTTAAGGGTTTAAGGGTTTAAGGGTTTAAGGGTGTAGGATTTAGGGTTTAGGGTTTGCTACTTCCAAGGGCTTAGACGGTGGGGGGGGGGGGAGGGCTTCTGGGGCCTTCTTTAAGGAGGTTTCGGGTTTAGGGTTACAGTAAGGATTCTACTTTAGGGTTCATGGGAACTTGTAAGTAGGGCAAACCATCGCTACCCTACTTAGGACCCTACTTAGAAGTACCCATGAAACCTTGAAGTAGGGGAGGCTTCTAGGGCCTTCAGGTGTTAGAGGATCAGGAGGTAAGGGTCTAGCAGTTCATTTTTTTTTTTTCGGATGTAGGGGGGTTTGCAGAAGTTTCCTTGGGCGTGAAGGGCCGCGGCTGTGCTACATATGAGCTATGGTTGGAAGAGCCTGTCTGATCTTTGTTGAGGCTTCGCAAGTATTTGCGCTGCGCTGGTGAAGAATGTGTTTGAGAAGAAGGACACCTGTTCTACCAAAATAAGGTTCCCAACAGGCGCCCTTTGTGATAAGGCGTCCCATTTTCAACAAGATTTGTAAGGGAACCTAGGTATGGAGCAACCCCTTCCCCCCGCCATAGTTAGTCTGCCACACGCAACCTGCGTGACCTTGCCTCAGCGCTTGAGTACTTTCGGGATGAGCAGCCTGGAGTACTCGGCTTCCTAATGCCGCGGGTTGTGACGCAAGATTCTGCAAGTGTTCAGTTTTGAAACTGCCGCATGGCTTTTAACAACGAGTTCCCAATGAGACAGCCTTCTGCCAATGCATGACTACCCTGTGCAAGTACTGGGCGCGCATGCGCAGCAGATCCTGACCCTTTGCCACCCTAAGCCTAAACCCGAAACCCTAAACCCTAAACCCTAAACCCTAAACCCTAAACCCTAAATCCTGATCCTTGCCATGACCCACAAACTTAGGTGCTGGGCTAGAGCCTTGAACCTGTTGGGGTAGTAGAAACCCCCGTAAAACCCAAAAGTTAACCTTTGTCCCCAAGGAAACTCAGCACCTACCGAAACCCTAAACCCTAAACCCTAAACCCTCAACCCTCAACCCTAAACCCTAAACCCTAAACCCTAAACCCTAAACCCCAAACCCCAAACCCTAAACCCTAAACCCTAAACCAATCAAGCAAAAGATCCGAAGCCGTCGTAGGAGTGCGTCTTCACAGCCGGAGCTGTGGCGACGTCCATGTACCTCACAGCCACCGGCACATACATCCACTCCGAAGCTTGAACTGTGGGGTTTGGGGTTTAGGGTTTAGGGTTTAGGGTTTGGGGCTTAGGATATAGAATAAGGTCCCTTGCAGTCCAGACCGGAAACCTGGAACCCTACCCTCAAACAGTCCATCTTCCCGTACAGGATACTACTTGGGCCTTGAACATTTTAAAGGAATGGCTCTATGGTGTCAGGGCGCAAATTTTGTCGGTTTGGGTGCATGCCACCTTGGAGACTACCTGCTGGCCTTCGTCTTGTGCATTCACGAGCTTTTTCGCTTTCTTCACGTTGCACGTCGCCCAGAATCCGCAAGGCTAGAGGTTTAGGGTTTAGGGCCTGAAGCAAAAACTAGGTTGGTTTTTGGAACATTTTGCATTTTCCTTGTTCGGGCTGATAAGGGACCCTATATATAAATACTTTTCAGAGGGTTTAAAGGCCAACCCAGGAAAAAGGATTTAGGCTTCAGGCACGAAGGTCCCCTATAGGAAGCTGGACAAGTCACTGGGGTGGCGTGCGCCGACACTGATTTGGGTATTTCTCAAATAGGAGTACCCCTTCTATACCCCAAATAGCGTAGAATCCCCTTAACGGGGCCCCCAAAAAGGGTACCCCTATTTCATAAACCCTCAATTTCTGAGCCTGAGGATAGCAATGGCTCAGAGGAGACCTTCACGGGGGAGCACTGGTTTGAGGAGATGAGAAACCCGCCGAAATCCTTGAGCTTTAGGGTTTAGCGTTTCGGGTTTGGGTTTGGGGTTTGGGGTTTGAGGTTTAGGGAGTAGTGTTTAGGGTTTAGGGTTTAGGGTTTCGGGTTCAGAGTTCCCAAACCTTCTGGTAGCCCCATGGTGCCATTTTGCCCTTTTTCTTGGTCGAAGGTTGCCTTATAAAGTAGCCAACCCCGAAATGGGTACCCTTATTGTAGTATGGTTATTGGGCTACCAAGACCTACTTCAAGGTTCAAGGGTCACAAACTGACATGCTGGGGCGTGCAGTGGAGCAACCGTCTTTGTTTATACTGATTGCACCACCTGTTTTTTGGGTTACTTCTATATCCCTACCTTCAACTACTCCTGAACCTCCGAGTAGTATCTTTCTCCTGAATGGTTGAGGCTTTATCTAATCTTTGGCTTTCTCCCTTTAATTAAGGGCCGAGTGATAGGGTTTAGGGTTTAGGGTTTAGGGTTTGGGGTTTGGGGTTTCGGGTTGAGGGTTTAGGGTTTAGGCTACAAAATGAGCCGCCGAGCAATCTCCATGAAGGCGTTGGAGCAAAAGCCAAAGCCCTGGGAGCAGGTCAGCACCGTAAGCCCTGGTTGAGGGGTTCAGGGTTTAGGGTTTTGGGTTTGGGGAAACTCAATGATGATTTCACCTTCGGGCTTCCGGTTGCAACATGCGTCTTTTAACTTTAGGGGCTTCAGAGGTTTTGGGGCCTTTGAAGTTTTACTCTAGTTTCATGCGATTTTGTGTTTTTGTGGGGGGGGGGGGGGGGGGGGGGGGGGGGGAGAGGCCAGCGGTTTCAATGCAGAGGGGCTGATGAGAAGTTACTCAGTATATAAAGTAGCGTCGCTCCCCCCCAAGTGCTTCCGACTCTGCTTTGAAGGGAGGGGCCTCTTCGTTGTAAGTATCGTTCGGCTTGGCCCTAAACCTGGGTTGCAAGTTTTAGGGTTTAGGGTTTAGGGTTTAGGGTTTAGGGTCAAGGAGGCACTCTTCGTGTATCTCTACACCTTGAGCCCTCTGACTCACGCCCGACTCCAGGTCTTCCCTAAACCCTAAACCCTAAACCCTAAACCCTAAACCCTAAACCCCCAGGTCTCTATGCTGAGAGCCTGGTTCATCACTCCACTTTGACCTCCAAAACCTTCGGCGAAATCTTCACGCTGGATGGCAAGGCAGCTCCGACCGGCTGCTGTCCAGTACCCCTTTACAGGGTCCCAGGTACCTATGGAGCTTTTGCCAGGGGCCAAGTGTAAGGCACATTTCTCGTAGAGTTGAGCACATCATAAAACTGAGTTCCCTGGTTGGTCAGTTTATAACACCTTGGTTATACACATTTTTGTTTGGGACATTGGAAGGTGCAAAACCCTAAACCCTAAACCCTAAACCCTAAACCCTAAACCCTAAACCCTAAACCACTTTAAACCCATCTATACCTTATGAGACCAAGGGGCCCCTTCTTCGGAAGCCTTTAAGGAACATAAGGGATCATAAGAAGGGACCATGCAACTTCCTTCAGGTGCACGGTGGGGCCCCCCTTACTAGGCCAACAATAGTTAAGGGGCTTAATTATGACCTAAGTTAGGATCCTTATAGCCCAATATAGGGTCCTTCATAACTCTACTTAAAACTAGCCGGGGGGGGGGGGGGGGGGGGGCGGCCCTCCTTGTACTTGATAACCCTAAACCCTAAACCCTAAACCCTTTAACCCTCGGCTGCGCAACTCCGGGCCCCAGTTGGTAGCTCTGACAATCTTGCGCCAAGACGCGCCTGCCCCTACCTACGCCGAGACTAGGTTTCTATTGGGTCTTTAGGGTTTGGGGTTTGAGGTTTGGGGTTTGGGGTTTGGGGTTTAGGGTTGCAATCCCAAGTAACAAGTTTACGGTTTAGGGATGTCCCCTGTAACATCTCTAGCGTCCCAAGAGCAAGTGCTTCAACAGCTGCCAGTGTTGGCCAGGACCTGGTAGACTGTCTGCAGAATTCCCCGTCCTCAGCATCCATGTTCCGTGGCTTAAAGTGACGGTTTCCGAAGTTCGGGTACCGCATAGAGGAATCCTACTATTTGGTGGTCTATTTTCATCTATGTTCGGGTTCCCCTATTTTCGTACACCTCCAAGGTTCTCACAGGCTGCTTCAGGGTTTAGGCCATAGCAGAGTTTCCGCTCGAAGATTCTGAATGTTGTGCTTACTGCTGTCTGCCTGCGGCTTTGAATGTAGCGTGCGCTGCCCTGAACACATCGCGTCACATGATGTGTCCCATTTGTCCTTATATAAAGATTCTAACACCCCCACGTGCCGTGTGCGGAATAAGCATCCCGTTAAGACAAGAATTACCACAATTAAACAGTGCCAAGTGTCGCATGGAAGCAGTAGAGATACCCTCGGGGACCACATGAGCCCATCCATACCCCGGCGGGATGTTTGGCGTGGGGCACAACCAAGAATGAAAAGCAGGAATTGATGAAACGCGAGGAAGTGATGAGTGATGATCTAGCACAACTACCTTAGCATGCCACAACGTGCTTCAAACACATGGTCAAAGAGTTTCCAAGAGTCTTCTATTACTATACATGTCTTTTCCCTTCGATTCCCAGGAAACAAATGGACTTAATAAGGAGACAGAAGGAGGTCCCTGGAAGTACTAAGGTCAAAAATGTAAGACTAAGAAACCCAAACCCCCCCTAAACCCTGAACCCTAAACCCTAAACCCTAAACCCTAAACCCTAAACCCTAAACCCCACAAGCTTTTTTGGTTTTGGAGGAAGGCGTGGCTCGGGCTGCGGTCTTGAAGGGCTTCGGCTTCTCGCATCAGCTGAGGTTCTGTGGATATGCGAAGGCGTTCGTGGACCTGCGTCCGCACATGTCGGGGGAACGGGCGGAGAGGGGGGGGGGGGGGAGATGAATGAACCCTAAGCCCTAAAGCCCTAAACCCTCAAGTTCTGAAGAGGACCGTGAAAAGACCCCGAATGAAGCTCCTAAATTTTGCCCTGAGTGCTTGAATTTGCAAGCAGTGGACGCAGCTCGGGTTTAGCGTTCCAGAAAGCTTTAGGGCTTCGCTATGGGGGGGGCGGTTTTTTCCGTCAAGAAATCGCACGTGGCACATGGGAGTTGTCTTGTTAGACTGGCAGGGGGGGGGGGGGGGTTCACAAGGAAAATCGTCACACAAAGGCACCTAAGAGCATAACAAACCCGACATGATGCAACGATGTTTGCGAGCAGAGGCTCTCTTAGACAGCCAAGCAGCTTCCCCGAAGTCAAGCGCCCTACCTCGAGTGCCCGAAACCTTCTGTGGTTTAGGCTTTAGGGTTGAAGTTTTTGTGTACGGTTTTTGCGCTTCAAAGCGTTTCAGAGATTCTCAACGACTTTTAGCTCTTGCACCTGCCCGCAACCCATCCCAGGAAGTGATGCAGAAGCCGTCAGGGCTTACGATGCACGCGCAGCAGCTCCCATACAGCACAGGTACAAGGAGGGGCCCCCCTTACTATACTAACTATAGTTAAGGGACTTGTAACCTAAGTTAGGATCCTTAAAGCCCAAATTTAGGATCCTATAACTCTTGATAACTAAGGGGGGGCCCCTCCTTGTAGGGGAGAGTTGGGGACGAGGCAGTGGGCCTGGTTCCCTTCTAAGAACCAGTAAGTTTTGGGCTAAGGGTTTAGGGTGGTTTAGGGTTTAGGGTTTGGGTTTAGGGTTTAGGGTTTAGGGGTTAGGGGTTTAGGGTTTAGGGTTTAGGGTTTAGGGTTCAGGGTTTGGGGTTTAGGGTTTTGCAAGGGTAACCAGGGCCTGCAGGGAATCACACCTGCTAAGTGCCAAGTGTCCAAAAGTTCAGAAGCACAGCCCACTGTGAGCCTTATTCATCAACTCTACAAAGGGCCTTGTTTAAGGCAAAGGTTAAGGGACTATACCGAAACCCTACAAGCCCTAAGCCCTTATTCAGGACCCTTCTAAGGAGTGTGGTATATCTCTTACCGCCCATCCTCCAAAACCCCAAACCCAAAACCCAAAACCCCAAACCCCAAACCCCAAACCCCAAACCCCAAACCCCAAACCCCAAACCCCAAACCCTAAACCCTAAACCCTAAACCCTCCTCCGACCTGTGCTAAGGTTAGTGGCTGCGGAGACTTGCTGCCGCCACACGCAGCAATACCAGGACACCAAGAGAGCTGCATCTCCTGGCCTCGCAGGGTTTAGGGTTTAGGGTTTAGGGTTTAGGGTTTAGGGTTTAGGGTTTAGGGTTTAGGGTTTAGGGTTTAGGGTTTAGGGTTTAGGGTGTTTCAGGGGAGGGCGCGCGCTCGGGTGTGAAACACCCCGGGCCGCGCGCTCGCGTTGCCCATCAACCCACCCCGGCCACCCAAACCAGACTCTATTGGGGTTTATAGGGTTCATTGAATTTATTTTCGTCTGCACCGATGCTTGTCTCAGTTTTTTAAAAGTTGCGGTGTTAGAGTTTAAGCTGGGGTTGGGGGTAGCCTCGGCCCTTTTCGGGCCTTCGGCGTGTCAGGGCCCGTAGAGGCCCTCATTTACTTGAAGGTCAGGGAAATTCTGTGTTTTTTTGCGCCAACGCATGTTTCCATTTTTGAAGTTGCAGGGCTATGGCTTAAGCTGGGGTTCGGGCTAGCCTGGGCCTCGTTTATACAACTTGGGAGCTGCGGAAGACTCTTGGCAACCACCCCTCAATCCATATTTGGGCAGGCCGGGGCGAGGCCCGGGAAGGGCTCCTGCTTGGCCCTGTCTAGGGTTTAGGGTTTAGGGTTCAGGGTTTAGGGTTTAGGGTTTAGGGTTTGGGGTTTGGGGTTTAGGGTTTAGGCCTTAGGGTTTAGGGTTTAGGGTTTGCTGCGTGGCGGGTGGTGGCAAAATCCCTCGGCCGCCAAAGCACCGACGCGCCAGTGCCTCGAAAGGAGCTACATCCGGATCCGCGCACTCGCCTGGACAACATCCGCATTGTGCCTGACACTGGGGTAGACCAGGCTGGCGCGGGAAGAGATGTAAGGGTTGAAGGGTTGAGATCTCTGTTAAATCCGCAGACCTCAGACTTAACTCTATCCCGGCTGGCTGCAAGAGACCTGGATGCAAAAGATCTCTGTTGCTTGGCAAACACGTTGCTGGCTTTTGGGGGGTTTAGGCAGTTGGGGTTTACGAATGTTTTGAGGGTTTCAGGTTTGTGCCGAGTGCACCGCAGGCCCTCAAAACAAGGGATCCCACCTGTGTCGCCATGGGTTCTAGCCGTCACATTACTTAGTTTAGGGTTTAGGGTTTAGGGTTTAGGGTTTAGGGTTTAGGGTTTAGGGTTTAGGGTTTAGGGTTGAATCTTCATGGACGGTTACCAGGAGGGCACCCCCCCCCCCCATCCAGAATTTAGTGGAGCCATCCATCTGGGCGTTTTGGTTCGAACCCAGAGGCCCTCAATCCTAAGTAGGGATTAGTTTTAGGGTTTTGGGGTTTTGGGGTCTTAGGGTTTAGGGTTTAGGGCAAAACCTGGGGTTTAGCGTCAGGGTGTAGGGTTTGGGGCTAAAACCTCCAAACCCAAGCGCTGCCGCCTTAACAAGTCTTGTTGCGTCCTGCTAAACCCTAAACCCTAAACCCTAAACCTGGGGCCAGGCCATGACAATGTCGGAAATGTCAGTGTCGGAAAGCACCTGCAGCTTCCGCTCAGGGGGGCCCCCTGGCCTCATGGTTTGTGGGTTTAGGATTTAGGGTTTAGGGTTTAGGGTTCAATTATGGTTTATGAGAGACAGAGAGAGAGAGAAAGAGAAAGAGAAACATAAAGAGAAAGAGAGAGAGAGAGAAAAAACAAAAGGAGTGTCGGGGGCCCTTGTCTCACACCGAGACCGGACGGATTGGGCGCGCTACGCGCGCGAGGGGTCTGCTGGCCCCTTAAGCCCTGCAGAAGAAGAAGAAAACAAAAGAGAGAGAGAGAGAGGGTGTAGGGTTTAGGGTTCAAGGTTTAGGGGACGGTCTTTTGATGCTGTCGCCGTCAGCCTTCTTAAATGCCGAGAGATGCAGCAGTATTGCCCAAAATGTTCAGCATGTCTGTGGTATGCTTGTCGGTGCCTTTGAGACATACCGACTTATGTGGGATGTCGATACCCCCCCCCCCCCCCCCCAAAAAAAAAAAAAAAAGAGACACAATTTTGGAGCCAAACCCCAAAACCCTAAAACCTAAACCCGAAACCCTGTACCAAGACCTTTCCCTTCATGATCGGCCTCTGTGAGCACACACCTAAGCAACGTGAGTCCTTACTGTAAAGACTAATGGCGGGACCCTAACTGGGATGGGTTTAGGCATTAATAGGGTTTAAGTAGGTAGCGCAGTAGGGGGGGCTCTATGAGAATTAGGGCTCTGGGTTATTTCTTTCGCCTTGCCGGAGCCGCGAATCAGAGGAAGAGTTCCAGGGTCGAGACAGGCTCATTGGTACACTGAAGGTTTACGAAAATTAGGGGCCCCTAATATAGACCCCGCGTATGGACCCCAATAAAGTACCCCTAAGAAACGAAACCCCCACTTGGTGCAGGTTTTTGTCAGGGTTTTGTCATCCGCACGCAAATCTACCACAGTATCGCCGGCATTCGTATCCAGCCAACGATCTCGGTAGCCCCTACTTGGAGGTTCATGGTATCCCAATTTCAACCGTACTCACAACCTGATTGTAGCCTGATTGGGGTACTTTAGGGGCTTAATCAGTGGTTATAACTACACTTATGATTGGGTTACAAGTACCCTAAACCCTAAACCACTCCAACCCTTAAACCCTAAACCCTTAGTACCCTGAACCTCCACGTAAGCCCGTCACCAGAGCAACGCCGCACAAGGCTTTTGCACCTGCTCAGAGACCTGGACAAAGGCGGCCTGCTGCCAGCTCCGTGCCTGTTTTGGGGTGTAGACTAGGGCTTAGGGTTTAGGGTTTAGGGTTTAGGGTTTAGGGTTTAGGGTTTAGGGTTTAGGGTTTAGGGTTTAGGGTTTAGGGGTTTAGGGTTTAGGGTTTAGGGTTTAGGGTTTAGGGTTTAGGGTTTAGGGTTAGGGTTTTCTTGAAGACCGATACGACGTCCCAGATCTATCTCAACTCTCCCAGAAAGGGGTTGTAGACCAGAACTATAACACGATTTACCCACAGCTTCGGCTGTAACCCTTACAGGTAGGGTTTAGGGTTCAGGGTTTAGAGTTTAGGGTTTAGGGCTTAGAGTTTAAGGGTTTAAGGGTTTAAGGGTTAAGGGTTTAAGGGTTTAAGGGTTTAAGGGTTTAAGGGTTTAAGGGTTTAAGGGTTTAAGGGTTTAAGGGTTTAGGGGTTTAGGGTTTTGGGTTTTGGGTTTAGAGTTTAGGTTTTAGGGTTTAGTTCTTGTTTCGGGTGCTTTGAGGTTTGCAGGGTTTGCTGCCCTTTTCCTCTGTTCTTGGTGGGAGAGTTAATGCGGTGTGAGCGTTGAAAGATGTAACATGGCATGGGTACTCGGAGGGAAGTCCCTTTTGATTAGCTTTGGGCACAAAGGTGTAGCATCTTGCAGTTGGAATGTCGCTTCCCAGTGGGAGTGTCACGTTCTATTTGGGGGGTTTTGAAAATGGGGGGACCCCTAGTGAAGACCCCCAGATAGTAGGATCCCCTCATAAGAAGGACCCCAAAAAGGTATCCCGAATTCTGGAAACCCTAAACCCTAAACCCTAAACCCTAAACCCTAAACCCTAAACCCTAAACCCTAAACCCTAGACCCTAGACCCTAGACCCTAGACCCTAGACCCTAGACCCTAAACCACCATTTGGGAACCCGGCAACTTCAAGCCCCACATGACGACACCGCCGAGAGCCAAGGACGACATCGTCATGCAGCTTCAGCCACTCAGACTATATCCCCCTTGGGAATTATTTTTAGGGTTTAGGGTTTAGGGTTTATATAAAGCCCAAGAGGATATTAAAACTACTATTTTTATTAAGATTCTAAGGGGAGTATAGCAGACTGGATGAGTTGTCGCGTGCTTTGGGGTGCCATGCGCGTTTCACCCCGAATGCAAATAATGGATACCTAGATAAATACATACATTAAACAATACATATATATATATATGAATAGTGTTTATCAACATCAGAATCACGAGTTGAGTGGAGGGTTGATTGCTAAAGGCAGTCCCGCGGGATTCGGCAACTTTGATCGTGGTCTGCGAACTGGTGATGGGAGGATGGGTTTAGGGTTTAGGGCTTAGGGTTTAGGCTTTAGGGTTTAGGGTTTAGGATTTAGGGGTGCATCTTCTTGACACGTGACGTTTTGGAAGAAGACTTTTCAGCTGTCTCCGACTTGAATAAGAGTTCAGGATGGAAATGGTCTGAGACTCATAGCAAGCCGACCTGTGTTGGAGTCTGACGGAAGAAACATGGTCCCTTAATGTGGTCCCTTCTCTTCTTCAAAGGGTTCTGAAGTATGGGCCCTTGAGAATTATAGGGTATGTAAGGGGTATATAAGGGGTCCTCCTTTAGGTGCCCATATGAAGCGTGTGTAACTAACCCTAAAGCCTAAACCCTAAACCCTAAAACCCCTAAACTCCGAACAAAACCTAAACCCTAAACCCTAAACCCTAAACCCTAAACCCTAAGGCATGCAATTACCTTCTAAACGCGGGTTACAAGGACGGCCATTCCGGAACTTCATCCGGAAGTCGGCACCCATGCACTGCTGGCCCCTCGACAAGTCCGAAGAAGCACGGTTTGGGGTTTAGGGTTTAGGGTTTGGGGTTTAGGGTTTAGGGTTTAGGGTTACCCGGCAGACTTCAGAGGCCTGGATGTACAAAGGCTTTTAGGCTTTTAGGCTTTTAGGCTTTTAAGCTTTTAGAGTTTGAGGGTTTGAGGGTTTTAGGGTTTCAGAGTTTAGGGTTCTAAAAGTTTATAGGGTCCGGGCCCCTTGTTTAGGGTTATTTAGGGCTTAGGGACGTTTAGGGCGGAGGGCTTTGGGGCCCTGCACCCTGCTTAAGCCCTAGATATTTGCTGCAGAGTGGAAAGCTTTAGCTACGGCACCCCCCAACCCCAAACCGTAAATCCTTAACCCGATACCCTTACCGTTCATGGACCTCCTACCGGCCTTGTGCGAGTGTGACCGTTCGGAGCCCTCAACTCAACTCCTCCAACCACGACACCAAACCTCAGGAGCAGCATTTCGAGCGGGACAGGGCGGTCTCCTCTTGCACCAGTGGCGACAAGATTTTAGGGTTTAGGGTTTAGGGTTTAGGGTTTAGGGGCGCTTTGCGGTTTTAGGGGGGCTGTTTGAAGGTGGCAGGGTTTCGGGGTTTAGGGTCGAAAGGCAAAAAAGGGGAAGAGGGGTTCAAGAAGGGGAGCCACCCATGTCTTTGCTACAGGAGCCCTCATAGTATGAATAATGCGCGCTCATAAATGGTGGTTGCAACTAGAGTATGGGCATTTTTGCTGAGGGGCGTCATAAACGGCAGCTCATAATCCTAGAGCCGCAACATGAGTTCGGGCGTGGAAGCCAGCAGTACGGGTAGTCTGTGGGCCGAGGTAAGCCCGAATAGACGCGGAAACCCAAAGCATTCAACCCTAAATCCCTACTATAGCCCCTTGGGGATATGTCTATTTGGGCTCATTTGTATTTATACAAAGCCCGCAGGGGAATTCAAAATATTGTTTTGATTAAGATTCTAAGTTGAGTATAGCCTAGACCCTCACCTATAGGACCTCACCTACCGGAAGAATTCGCCTGCCTTGTGTGAGTGCGAGCCTCGATGACCTAGACCCTAAACCTTGACCTGAAGCCGCCCTAAATGCTAAACCCCGAAACCCTTACATGCTAAACCCTCAACCCTAAACCCAAAACGCTATAGACCCAAAATTTCCAACCGAGAAGACCCTGCGCCGTCTAAGCATATCAGACCCGACACCTGTGCTTTAGGGCAGACTTGCAGCGGGGTTTAGGGTTTAGGGTTTAGGGTTTAGGGTTTAGGGATTAAAAGGGTTTTGCCATAGGCCCCGTGAACCCCACCCCCACACCTTAGGCATAAGTCTGCTGGCGCTGGTCTACGACAACTACAACATCTTCGTGAAGCCGCAGCAGACACTTGGCCTTGCCATACTGTTGGTCAGTAGGGACTGGGGGAATGAGGTACCCTATATAGTCCCTTAAAGGCTATATATTGGACCCTAATTCCCTCACTCCCTGCGAACAACAGTAAGTTACCTCAATCCTAAACCCCCAACCCTAAACCCTGCACCATCAGCTAGGCGGGTGGCCAACAAGAAAGTACACCCAGAGTAGCCCTTATTCCTTTTTGGGCTCATGTTCCCTTAGAAGACCCTTTATATACCAAACAGGGTACCCTGTTTATTCCTAGGTTATATCTGGGTCTAGGAATGACATTGGGGAGTCTAGTTACGCTCTATACGCCCTCGTGGGCGAAGATGGTGGAGGGAGGGATAGGGGTACCCAAATCCCCCCCCCCCCCCCCTACTAAGATCTGGTAGGTTACTGAGACCATGCTGTAATCAGCCGATGAGAAAAAGACGATCTTGAACTTTGGAACCCTTAGGCTCAAAATAGCCTAAAGCCTCCAACAACTCCTGGAAGATTTGAGCTTCCCAAAACCCGAAACCCGAAACCCGAAACCCTAAACCCTAAACCCTAAACCCAACTTCAAGGCTGGCTCCCGTGCAAGTCACCACACCCAGCCAGTGGAAGCACCTCCGGGAGCTTGTGGCCTGGGCGCGCCTCGTAGCGTTAAGGGGTTTTAGGGGGTTTAGGGTTTCGGGTTTAGGGTTTGGGGGTTTTGGGGTTTTGGGGTTTTAGGATTTGGGGGTTTCGGGGGTTTCGGGTTTTTTTTTTGCGGTTTAGGGGTTTGGGGTTTAGGGATAAGGGGTCAGGTTCAGGGGGTTTAGGGGATTTAGGGGACGTGGGCTGCACAGGCTCCCCAAGTCCTTGACTGGTATGCCTGCTGTTCGAAGATTGGTGCCAGCAATTCCTGGGGCCCCCTCTTCGCAAGCGTGCTTGCTCATGGTGATTTGGGTGACTAGGGGTTTTGTGTGAGGCAGCGTGATGAAGCCCTAGAGCCTAAACCCCTAAACCCTTTACCCCTAAACCCTTAAACCCCTAAACTCCTAAACCCCTAAACCCCTCAACCCCTCAACCCCTAAACCCCTAAACCAGGTCTATAGACCCTAGACCCTTCCGGATTTTGTCTTTGGCTCCTTTTAGAATGAACGGATGCCTTCGGCAGGCTTTGGCAGATTAGGAAGTCTGGAGCCTGGTCTGGACACAAAAAGAGCCCTTCTCATTCAGCATGCGACTAGAATGTTTTAAGAATAGAACAATATAAGAACTGTATTAATATATCAGTACAACAAGAAGATAAAGTGACCCAACATAATAATATAATAATATAACAACTGTATGAGTATTTCAGTGCAAGAAGAGAATAACGTCATACGACTACAGGGGAAACTAGTCTCATAAGTAGCATGTAAATAGAGACGGTGAGGGCAGTTTCTAGGACTGCCTCCAAGGTCAAGTGAGATGCTTTGAGCCAGCTTCGTGTGCTCAATTGAAACGCCCTCCCAGCCAGTGTTGCTGAAGTAAATCGCCCCCTGCCAGACTGCCCCTGAACCCTAAACCCTAAACCCTAAACCCTACCCTAAACCCTAAACCCTAATCCCTAAACCCTAAACCCTAACCCCTATCCCCTAAACCCCACAATCTCTTGAGCATTTTGTTGGGTATGAGTGGGAAATCAGCAACCCTTGGGATGTTCCCCCTTTTCTTAGCAGTCCTGAATAAGGATTATAGTAATTATTAATCCCTATTAAGGACTGTTAGCATAAGGGGGAACATCCCAACCCTAAACCCTAAACCCCCTATTATTATCCCTATTAAGGAGCTGGTAGTATAGGGGGGGGGACATCCCAAAGCAAACCCCCCTAGTTGTTTGATATCAGGGTCGAAGTAGGAGAAAAAAGCACTGGATGGCTTCAGGGTTTAGGGTTTAGGGTTTAGCGTTTAGCGTCTAGGGTTTAGGGTTTAAAGTTTAGCGTTTAAACAAACTTTTGACGAAGGTACCGGCCGAGACAATTTATGTCATGAGCACCCACTTTATAGAACTGGCGAAACATGATTGTAGGGTGTTTTGCAGGTGGGTTGAGAATGGTGTGATGTTTAGAACTTGAGGGCGAGCCGCGGGCAATTTGTTTTCGCGGCTGGGGTGGGGGGTGGGTTGGGGGGCGGGGGGGGGGGGGGAACCAGGGCTGTTTCTTTGTTACAGCAGCGCGCTCATTCACATCTTTGAAGACTCTAGATGCACCCCAGACGCTCTCAGGGTTTAGGGTTTAGGGTTTAGGGTTTAGGGTTTAGGGTTTAGGGCAGCCACACTATTGAGGAAACCGACGCAAGAACAGCTGCAAGCTGTGCTGGTTCTGCTGGCCATTCGCGGACTGGGAGCCTTGTCAAAGCTAAGCTTGAAACCCTAAACCCTGAACCCCAAAACCCTAAACCCTAAACCCTAATTAAACTTGAAACCCTAAACCCAAAAACCCAAAACCCTGCATTTGCACGGCTGGCAGCCGGCACTTTTGAAGGGCTAAGAGACATTGGATGCAAAGCCCCAGAGTTGCCTCAGGTGAGCCCTTGGGATATGTTCTTCGCCTTGCTTTCTGTAATGAGATAACGCTAAACCCCAGACCTTACTTGTGTCCCGACTCGAACTCGAAAGTTGCTGCAGGCGCTGTTTGTGCCTTTGGTACGGTTTCTACGTGGCGGGTTGGGTTCTGGCAACCGGGTACAACATATCTGAGCCGGCTTTGAGAAAAGTCGGGGTAAAGCCTCGATGCCAGTGTCGATGCCAATGTTACGGAAATACCCCTAAACCCTGAACCCTAAACCTCATGCCTGCGGAGTGGATTCCCCAGCTGAAAAGAAGCCCAAAGTTTTCTGGGGCATGGGGGGGGGGAGAGAATATTCGTGGGTGTAGGGTTCAGGGTTCGTCGAGGTTTAGGGTTTAGGGTTTAGGGTTTAGGGTTTAGGGTTTAGAATTTACGGTTCAGGGTTTTGGGTTTAGGGTGTTTTCGGGCATGGGGGCCAGGCATCCTCGACCTGGCTTTGCGTTTTTTTCCGCGACCACGGCCTTCTTTTTGGGGGTATAAGGAGGGACCCCAAGAATGGACCCTTAATCTTATTCCCCTATATAGCCCATATATATCCCCTATATATATATATATATATATATATACATATACATATATATATATATATATACATATACATATATATATATATATATGTCTTATATATTCCATATATATACCTAACCCTAAATATCCCGAAGGTCCCTTATGAGGGTACCTCCTTTGGTCCCTTGACCTCTCAGGAAAGTCCCCGGTTCTTACGAGCCAGATCAAGTCCAGCCGCGGGCGACCAGAGCAGGTGGTGCTGCACTTGATCACGCCCCTTCGGCGACTATTTGTTTAGGACCCCCCCCCCCAAAAAAAAAAAGAAAATAATAAATAAATATAAATATAAATATATATAATAATACTAATAACAATAAAAATGATCCCTATATTGCCCTGATAAGGAAGAATGTTATTTCTATTATTTTGGGGGGTGCTTAGGCAATTCGTGATTTGGCTACAGAAATGGCCTCTAGGAAACGCGAACATGATCCCAACACCGCTCCATACTCTGCACCCTACGTCTATCGTCCCCTTTTAGAATACTGTTGTATTCATTCTTGTAAAGCCCAAGGGAGGATTAACAAATGTGATTATTAAGGTTCTCAGGGGAGTATAGACATGACCCCGAGCCATATAAATTGGGATATTCCCTCTTATACTAGCAGTCCTTGAAAGGGACTATAATAGGGGGTACTATAATCCCTATTAAGGACTGTTAGTATAAGGGGGAACATCCCAACATGTAAGCCTTAAACCCGGACCCGGCGAAGAACAGACCAGGAAGGCGCAGAATGTGGTGCCATCGACGAGGGGTCTGAGCGAAAAGGCTCAGAGTTTCATCGAGACTCTTGGCCCACACTCGGCTTGGCGGAATAATTACGAATGGCATTTCCTTATGGTCCGTGCTTGAAAAGCCCCCTCAAGAACCCATTAAGGCCCCTACATTAGCTTCTTCTATGTACCCCCCTAAACCCTAGACGCTAAACCCTAAACCCAAAACTCCAAACCCTAAACCCTAAACCCCAAACCCTAAACCCAAAGCTGGGACTGCAGTTCATGTTCGCAGTCCGGTGTTCACCTGTCGACTTACCCCCGCCCCATCCGAAACCTTAAGCCCTGAACTCAATTCTCAATGCTTTGGTCTTGTTTAGGGTTTAGGGTTTTGGGTTTAGGGTTTAGGCTTGGGGTTTGGGGTTTGTATTTCCAGAAACGCAGCAGCGCAAAGCCTTGAAGCCCCTAAGCCTGGGCCCTATCGGCCCTCTCGCCCGCGACCGCCAGGAACACCCTTCTGCTCCACGAGGTCTTCAACCTTGCGCAGATGCTTCAAGGTGAAAATGTTCCGGCCCTTCGGCTCCAAGCATTTCCGGGAGAGCAAACAAGGAGAGCAAACAAGGAGGGCCGGTGTGTCAGCCCCAAGTTGGAACTTGTTGTTTTGGGTTTAGGGGTGTAGGGGTTTAGGGGTGCAGGGGTTTAGGGGTTTAGGGGTTTAGGGGTTTAGGGGTTTAGGGGTTTAGGGGTTTAGGGGTTTAGGGGTGTAGGGGTGTAGGGGTTTAGGGGTTTGGGGGTTTGGGGGTTTGGGGGTTTGGGGGTTTAGGGGTTTAGGGGTTTAGGGGTTTAGGGGTTTAGGGGTTTAGGGGTTTAGGGGTTTAGGGTTTAGGGGTTTAGGGGTTTAGGGGTTTAGGGGTTCAGGGGTTTAGGGGTTTAGGGGTTTAGGGGTTTAGGGGTTTAGGGGTTTAGGGGTTTAGGGGTTTAGGGTTTAGGTTTGTTGGCCGGACACCGTAAGCCCTTCAAAGCTCCTATTGCCCTTAGCATATCTGTACCCCCCCCTCCTCCCCTTAAAAAAATGATAAAATTAAAAAACAAAAAGGAAAAACACAAAACCTAGTTAACAGGCCTCAACCTGAACACCGTTACTTGGGGATCATCTGCTCGTCGAAACGAGGGTTGTGTTCCTGCTTATGACTGAGGAGGCTGATGTAAGGTCGGAAAGGGTGAGAATCAGCCCTAAACCCTAAACCCTAAACCCTAGAACCCTAAATCGAACCATTTCTCCCTTCTCAGAACGTCAGGCTCAAACCCTGCTCGCGCTTCGGCCAGGTGTGCGTGAACGAAAAAATGCCCTAACTCGATGTAGTCGGAACTTAGAAGCTATAGTAGAGTAGATAACCTTTAACCTTTTAGGGGTAGTAGAATCCCTATAAACTCCTTAGTAGCTATAGTAGATCGAGTAGATAACCTTTAACCTTTTTGGGGTAGTATAATCCCTATAAATTCCCAAAGGTCAACCTTCAGCTCCCCCAGGTTACTGGACAAGTAAGGGAAAGGATGATTATCAGAAGGGGTGCGAGTAGTCTTGGGCTTTTCACAGCATCAACAGGGTTTTTATAGGTGTTTATAAGGTTTTATAGGGTGTTTATAGGGTTTTCTAAGGTTTTTATAGGATTTTGGGGTTTATATGGTTTATTGTTGCGCAACTGCTCCGAGGCCAACGTGGCATTGCTGCAGGAGCGCACGCACGAGTTGGGTGAAGAGGTTGGACCCAACACCCTTAGCCCCAAATCCCTCGCAAGGGTTTAGGGTTTAGGGTTTAGGGTTTAGGGTTTAGGGTTTAAGGTTTAGGGAGGAACTCACGTAGAAACCCTCATACCCTAAGGGTCCATGTACCTTATTATTGTACACTTGGGCCCCAAAGTCCCTGTATCGCAAGTACTTTGAGGCCCAAGTATTTCCTATTTAGGTACATGGACCCTTAGGGATAAACTGCAGTTAAGCGACTTGCAGCATGTGTCGCAAGACGAAGAAGCCAATGTCTCTGTGAAGTGTTAACCCTATACCCCAAAGCCTGCACCCATGCCGAAAGGCATTTCATTTCTACATCCTCTTCCTGCTGGGCTTCATGAGCCGCTTTGATGGAAGCGTGGAAAAGTTTAGGGTTCATAGGGTTTTGGGTTTAGGGACCCTGTAGACGTCCCTTGAAAAAGGGTACCGGGTCCTTATCTCTTCTGCACTGATTGCTGTCCGCTTTTCTCGCTCCTGCCACACGTGCTAACCCTGCACCCTACACACCCTCAACCCGAAACAAGACGATGAACGAGGATTTATTCTGACATTGCCAGCCGCACTGAACCTCGAACCCTAAACCCTAAACCTCAAACCCCAAACCCTAAACCCTAAACCCTACACCCTAGCTGCGTCCCAGGTGGGCTGGGAGGAGGCATCGGCTCGAAGTTCCTGCACGCGCGGCACGCGCAGAACCTCATCGCCAGCATGTGGCTGGGCTTGGCTCAGCACTTAATCTACTATTTGCTTAACAAAACAAGAATTTAAAAACATAAACTTAATAAAAAAACAAAAAACAAAAAAACTATAGTACCCTTGTAAGGAAGAGCCTTTTTGTGTTTTTTTGGGGGGGTTCCTAAGCTTCCTAGTATATGTGAATGTATATGTAGCTTATGCAGCATCCTAGTTCTTCAGGTACCTATGCAGGCTTAGAGAGAGTCTCAGGGGAGGGGGCGGGGGGGCTGTCTGTTCATTTGCCAGTATGTCTCGATCGCTCTCTCCGGCTATCTGGCTCTCGCGTTCTTTGTTTCTTTCTTTTCTGTCGCACTCTCACTCTCTCTCTCTCTCTCTCTCTGTCTCCATCTGTCTATCTCTCTATCTCTCTATCTATTTAACCTCTATCTCTCTATATCTGTTTCTCTCTATCACTCTGTCTCTCCGTGTCTCAATCTATCTCCTTCTCCCTCTTTCTGCCTTCTCCCTCTCCCCCCCTCCCTCGCTCCCCTCCCTCTCTAAACCCTAAACCCTAAACCCTGAGGCACAATTTGTACATCTCACAAGCTCGAGCGCCGAGGCAGATGCTACGACATCTGATGGGCAGCAGCCCTACCAGCATCTACTGGGGCTACATCGTGCCGAGTCTGCACAGCCCTACACCCTAAGCCCTAAAGCCTAAACCCTAAACCCTGAACCCT